AGCCCAGCCCTGCACCGGGGCACAGATGTCAAGATACAGAGGAGATGTGTGTGGAGAGTAATAAATAAAGATTCTCCAGATGGCCATATGTCAGGTCACTGGAGCCCACCTGCTGCTCCTGTGCTGCTGCAGCAGCATGTTAAATGCAGGAAAGGATAGAAGAAGGAGAAAAGCAAATGCTGAGTGGTGTAACTCAGGCTTCATCCTGTTCATTCTCCTGGGGGGCTTCAGGTGGGATGACCACAGCAGCAGGCTGCTATTCCTGGGAAATCTGTTTTCCCTTCCTGGCTCTGTGCAAGGGCTGGTGCTTTGGTGTGGGGGTACAGACCTCCCAGCCCGAGCCCCAGCTGCCCCTGGGGGCCTCTGGGTGCTGGGAGCTGCCAGCAGCCACGTTCTGGGGTAAGGCTGGTACAGCTGCAGCAGGCGTGGCTGGGCCTGAGGACCATCCATGGCATTTTGGTGATATTTAGGAGAAGCAGAAGAAAGAACAAGAGTTTAGTGCAGCCTCTGCCTTGCTAAAGCTGGCTGCCTTCCCAGGTCCAGCAAAGAGCAGGACTGGAGGGGCTGCAGGTACTTCAGCAAGGTGCTGGGTAGCTATTGCCCTCTCTCAGGAGCCCACATCCAAAATTCACAATCTCCAGTGATTTCTCCCCACAGAATCTGCCAGGACAGAGAGATGCTGCTGCCCTTTCCCTTCCCTGGGCAGCCCAGCTTGTGCACCACCAGCCTGGGGTACCCTGTGCTCAGCCTCACGTTACTGGGGCTGCCAGTTCAGAGCAGGCAGCGCATCCTCTGCCCAGGAATGGGGAAAGGAGAGGTGGAAACACACCCCGAGGCTGGCTGGGTGCAGCTGGGGGCACAGGCAGATCTCCCCCACAGCCAGCTCAGCTTCCCCCTTTCCTTACAGGCCAAGGGCAAAGGGTTTTAACATGAGCAGGAGCGCCACAAACCATCTGAGCTGCGGATTTGGCTTTGCACTGAGCTCTCCCCTCCCCTGGCTCTCCCGCCTGGCCACAGGCAGTGTGAAATCACCACCTTTGCATCCCCTGCTCTTGGTTTGCTGCAGTGCCCGAGAGCTGGCACCTCCCTCCTGGTGCCTCAGAGCCGAGCTGAGAGCGGCGCCGAGGCAGGAGGGTTTGTTTGCGTTTACAGGGAAACCTGTTAATAAAGGAGACCAAAGGGACTGCTCTTTTCCTGGCTGTGGGAACAGATGGCTGGATAACGCAGCGCAATTAATATGCAGGGAGCCCTGCCGGGGCAGGGATTTGATTGCCTGTTAGGAGAGGTTAGCACGCTCAGGCTGAGCCCTGCCACCACACCGCCCCTCCCTGGCACCTGCTGCCTGCAGGGACTCTGTGGGGACACTGGGACAGCCTGGATGGGGGCACAGATGAGAGCGTGGGCACCGGATGCAGCTGGGGACTCTGGGGCAGGTCTCTGCTCCTCCCGTGCTGGGTGATGCTCTGGGAGCCCTTGGGGTTTGTAAGAGCAAAGGATGGCTCTGCTGATGAATGACTGCTCAGAGGTGTTTCCAGGCTGGAAGGGCAACTCTGGATTGTGTTCTTTCTTCCTGGACTTGTTACCTCTGGGTGAGGAGGTGCCAAGGAGGGCAGCAGGCAGGAGCTCCTGGATGAGCTGAGGGAGGTGGGCACAGGAGGTGGGCATCTCCTTGCTGCAGCACAGCGCGGCTACAGAACATTTCCCAGGGCTTCAAAGAGTGACCCAATAAATCCACAGGGAAGAAAAAGCCTTGCCAAGGCCTAGGAGGGTTAGGGAACCCTGAGGAAGCAGGAAACCCACAAACCCACCCCAGCACTGAGCTGGGCCACGTGGGTCAAGCCCAAATCGATGGGAGCCTCCAGGCCAAGGTCACCCTGGGCACGTGCAGGGCTGTTCCCATGCCCCGTCCCCATCCCATCCTGGGCTCTCAGGGGATCACAGTGTCCCAGCCCCTTCCCCATCATACCTTTGCTTTCCCCCTCCATTTTCTGGTGTTTTCTTCCGCCCCTGCCTCGTGGAGGTTGTTGAGCACCGTGGAAGGCAGCGGGCTTTGATCAGGGCTGTGCCTGTGCCGTGCCAGCAGCCCGCTCTGTCCACCCTTTCTTCTGCATCAGGAGGAGCCTGCTGGAGATGTCGAAGCTCAGCGCAAATCCTCACAATTAGGCCTGTTCTGCTGCCTGCCTCGTTTGATCTCCTTTAATTATTTATCGCCTTTTCTGTCTCCTCTTTCCTAAATCCTCGGTTTCTTTCAAGTGATGATTTCCCTGCTCTCCCCCCAGCCGCGGCTGGCTCTGCCTGTTTGCCTGCAATTACCGACCCTTCTGCTCCTTCCATCTCTCCCCTTTTGTTCTCCACCAGATCACTCCTTCTCGCTGCTCTCGTGGCTTCACCCTGCCCGCCTGCCTGGCAGATTTTTCTCCCTGCTTTTTTTGAATTTTTCCCCACCTGGCTGGCCATTTCCTCTCTCCATCCTGTTCCAGGTGTGGTTCTGGCTGTGTTTGCTGCCCATGCCAGGGCTCCTGCACCCTGGGCTGGGCTGTGCTCCACCTCCCACTGCTGTTCTCCTGGGCCACTGGTCAAATCCTGCAGTGGCCCTGCTACAAAGCCCTGGCTCCTGGCCAAAACCAGGGATCCCCATGGGGCTCCTGTCCTTGCCATGCCAGCTCTCCCCGTGCTGCTTTTCCATCCCTCATTTCTTTGTTTCCCAGCCCCTGATGCATTATTCAGAGCTGGGGAGATAATGGTGCTGCAAAGGCCATGGGCTCACACTGGCCATGCTGGGTTTTCTGTCATGGGCTGATTTTCCCCTCCAGCATTAAGCCAGGAATAGTCCTGGCCACGCAGGAGGTTCCTCCTGGGAGGTGACATCTGCTGTCAGCCCTGGGGGGACATGGCAGGGACAAAGGTAGGAGCAGGGGGAGGCAGCAGTGTCCCTGGCAGTGCTCCAGGGGCTGCACCTCCCAAATTTTTTAATAGAGTTTGATAGAGACACAGGTCCAGCACATGGCCCCTCTTTCTGTAGCCCTGACATGGATAATGGATGCAGATGCAGGTTTTGCTCAGCAGATGTAGCAAAGCACCCCAAACTGTTGTTTAACCCTTGTGGAAGAGGGTGCTCGTGCCCTCCAACCCTGTTTGTGTCTGGGCACTGTGAAGCCCCAGCTGGACCTGTCCCCAAGGCTTGCTGCCACCTCAGCCAGGGATGAGGTGCACAGGGATGGGGAAGAAGGTGAGGGGTGGAGGGCTGGTGTTGCTGGCAGCATTTTGGCTCCTGGGTCTGTTCTCCCTCAGGAAACAGCATCACCCAGCTGCCACCTGGGAGCTGTGGAGACATCCCCACCAGGACAGGCCTCTCCAGCCTGGCTGCCCCCACGAAAGCTCCCTTTAGACCCCATCTCTGGCTTCCCATCCCTGTCCCTGCAGAAACCCCCTGCCCAAATCCTGCTCTGGGGCCAAATCCTCCATGGAGGGACGGCCAGGTGCTCTTGTTGGGCTCTGCTTGGGAGGCTGCAGCCACATTCAGGAGGGAGCTGTGGCCCCAGGGGATGCAGAGCCCAGGCAGTGCAGGGAAACTGAGCCAGGGGTGGGACCAGTGTCCCCAGCCAGGTGTGCTTGGTGTCCCTGCCAGAGCAGCCGGGGTGAAATCAGAGTGTTTTGGGAATATAAACCCTGGCCATGACCACACTGGGCAGTTTTGAGGTGGTTTAGGGGAGGTTTGGGAGCTTTTCCCCTTCTTTGGTTTCACCGTTTCCTGTCTGCTGAGGAGGGCGAGTGCTCGGCACCACTGAAGGACATGAAAATTAATTATGGGCTCATTAACACGGACTCATCACCTGAGCTGCAGCACCGGGGATCCCACTGGGGACCCAACACCCCCCAAATCACCACGGCCCCCAAAAGCCCCCGCACTGCCAGGGTGGGGGTGTTCCAGGTGCTCCCAGACAGTGCTGGAGAATCAGCTGGGACTGGGCAGGGCTGGGGACACTGGGCTGGAACTGGGGAACCCTGGGGGCATCGTGGTGGGGAGGTAAAGGGTGGGATGGAAGTCAGGGTGGAATATGGGGTGGGATTCAGAAGAGGATATGACATGGGATACAGGGTGGAATGAAATGCAGGGTGGGGTATAGGATGGGGTTTAGGATGGGAGATGGGATGGGATGGGATGGGATGGGATGGGATGGGATGGGATACTGCGGGGACCTCTGTGGAAGAACTGGGGGCTCTGTGCAAGAATGAGGGGGGTCTGTGTAATGATGGGGGGCTCTGTGTAAGTTTGAGGCTCTGTGTAAGGATGACAGGGTTCTGTGTAAGTTCGGGGATCTATATACGTACAGGATTCTTTGTAATTTCGGGGCTCTCTGTAAGTTCAGGGCTCTGTAAATTCGGGGTGTGTAATTTCGGGGCTCTGTGTAAGTACAATTCTCTCTGTGATTTCGGGGCTCTGTAAATTCAGGGTGTGTAAATTCAGGGCTCTCTGTAATTTCGGGGCTCTGTGTGAGTACAATGCTCTGTGTGATTTCAGGGCTCTGTGTAAATACAATGCTCTGTGTGATTTCGGGGCTCTGTAAATTCTGGGGTTGTGATTTTGGGACTCTGTGATTTTGGGGCACTGTGAATTCGGGGTGTGTGATTTTGGGCTCTGTGTGATTTCGGGGCTCAGTGTGATTTTGGGGCTCTCTGTAAGTACAATGCTCTGTGTTAGTACAATGCTCTGTGTGATTTCGGGGCTCTGTCAGTACAATTCTCTCTGTGATTTCGGGGCTCTGTGTGATTTCGGGGCTCTGTGTGAGTACAATTCTCTCTGTAATTTCGGGGCTCTCTGTGATTTCGGGGCTCTGTGTCAGTACAATTCTCTCTGTAATTTCGGGGCTCTCTGTGATTTCGGGGCTCTGTGTCAGTACAATGCTCTCTGTAAGTACAATGCTCTCTCTAATTTCGGGGCTCTCTGTGATTTTGGGGCTCTGTGTAAGTACAATGCTCTCTGTGTGACACCCCCGGCACCCCCCGGGCCGACAGCGACCCAGCGGGGCCGGGCCCAGCGGGACGGCGGGGCGAGGTGAGGCGCGGCCGGGCCCGGGGCTGTGGGGCCGGGCAGGGAGCGGAGCGGGCGGTGGGACCGTGCTGGGCCCTGAGGGGGACGCTGGGAGGGGCAGGGCGTGCGGGAGGACCGAGCCCCCCCCTCCCATCGGGTGGTGCTGGGGACAGGCGGGTGACGACCCCCGGTGTGGGGATTTGGGGGTGCGGGGCTCCTGGGGGGGCTGGGAATGGGGGTCTGCAAAGGGACGCGCATGGGAAAGGCGTGCGTGGTGTTGTGGGTGCCGGGACAGCTGGGGACCCCACCGGGAGGGGTGTGCCAGGGTGTCCCCCCCTGAGGTTGGATGCTCCTGGGGGTGTGGGATGGGGTGAGGAGTCTGGAGGTGAGGCGCTTTTTGGGGTACAGGGGGTCCCTCCAGGGATGCGGGTGTGCTGGGGAGTGGCTGGGGGGGCACCCACATCCCTCCAGACAGGCTGGGACTGGGACAGTGGGTGACCCCCAGCAGCAGGATTTTGGCTGGGAAGGACGGGACGGGGATGGTCCCTCAGCAGACGCTGGTGCCTTGTGCAGTGCAGGTGGGAGACGAAGCAGGGACAAGGTTCCCAAAGCCCCTTTTTGTGCTGCAGGGACCCCCAGGCTGTGCTGGGGAGGGTTTGGCTGAGGAGATTTCAAACCCTGCGGGTGTTGCACGAGGGAAGGAGAGGGGGCAAGGCTTGGCAGCAAGGAACCACAGCAGCAACTCAACCGCTCGTCTTTTGGGAGTGTTTTGTGCTTCTCCTTCCCAGATCAGGAGGTTTGTCCCCAGGGATGTCCGGGCTGTGCCGTGCAGGGGGCTGGTGGTGGGTCAGGCCGTGGCTCAGGGGGAGCAGGTGGCTTTCAGAGAACACAGGTTCATTCATTTCCTCCAGAGCAAGATTTCAGACTGGATGTGTCTCGGTTTGCCTGTGCTCCCACTGCTGTAGGGGGGTCACCTGGGAGCTGGCAGCATTTGGGGGTGTCTCAGGTTGGTGACAAATGTCAAGGACCTTTTCCGAGGGTGCAGATGCTCACTGGTTTCCTTGTCCTGGCATGTGGATTCTTCTCTGGCAGGAGCACAGGGACACCCCCGCTGGGGGGGATTGTGGGGACAGTGTTTGTGTCCCCACACACGTCGTCATCTCTGTCCCACTCTGCCAGCGTGGCCTCACGCAGTGCCACCCTCTGTGTCTCACCTGCTTTCCCCAGAATCCCCCTGGCATCCCACCTGCCTCCCCCTGCCCCAGGACCCATCCTGACAGTGTGTGCAGGGAATGTCGGGGGCTTCCAGAGCCACAGGCTGGGCAGGTTTGAAGGGAACCTTTGGTCCTTGGTCACTGCTGGCAATGCAAGCAAGGGTTTTTCCAGGCAGAGGGGTGCAGGGGTCTTGGTTGGCTTTGTCTCTGGCGCCAAGAAAATGATGCTTTTCCCCTGGACAAAGAGTCTCGTGCCCCAGATCCTGTTGTGAGTGGGTGTGTGGCAGCAGGTCCTGGGGGCTGCTGGCAGAGGGAGCACAGGGTGCTCACCCTGTTTCTCTGGGCAGGGGCTGCCTGCGGGGTGCAGGTCACCCTGTGGGGTTAGTGCTCATGCTGAGGGTCTGCCGGATGTGGGGGTCCCCCATCCCCAGAGCCCGTTCTCCTCCTCCTCCTCCTTCCTGTCTCCCAGCTCCCGTTTTCCCCGGCCAGGTGGCCCGTGGCTTATATAATGTGCTCAAACCCCGGAATAGCTCCTCCCGTTACACAACCACCCAGCCAGGCACGGGAGGGGGGTGCTGGGGGGGATTCCCGGCTGGATGCTCCCCCTGCACTGGCCGTGACCCCCCTCCACCTGCAGTGCTCAGCTCCGGGGGTTGTTCACCGGGATTGTGTCCCCATTGGGGAAGGTGACCTCATTGTGACAGTCATCCCCCTGCTGCTCCATGTGCTCAATAATTGCTTTTATTTGTAGTAGTGTAATTACTCCCCTTCCTCACAGGGGCCTCAGGCTGACTGTTCCTCCTCCTGACTCCTTGCCCAGCAAAGCAAATGGCCCCAAAGGTGCAAAAGCTGGGGTGGCTGTTCCCCTTCTCCATCCCCTTTCCTTGTTTAAGCACCTCCTGTTGGGGAAGGTCGGGCAGGGCATTCCCAAGGGGATGAGGGAAGAGTGGCCAAAGGGGTACAGAGCTGGGGATCCCACAGGAAAAGCCATCACCTGGATCTGCTGCCTCTCCACTCAGCATGGGGGAATTGCTGTTGCCACATGGATGTGCTACTCCTTTCCCTCATCCCTGATTCAGGAATGGGGTCACTGCCTGGGTCCTGGGGCTGCTCCCTATCATGGGGTGACCCCTTTCCCACCAGCTCTTCTCCAGCCAGAGCTGAGAATGGAGCTCCTCAATAGCCCAAGGGGTTCAGGCTGGGGGGCTTCAGCCGTGGCATTTTGGGGACAAGAGTAAATCCTGGCTCCCCACCGTGCATCTGCCCTTTTCCCTGGATCATCTCCAGGGGATCTCTGTGCCCACACCCCCGTGTGATGCTTGTCCGGTGTGGGACCAGTCCCCAACCCTGGCTCCCCCATCCCTACATCCCCAAGCCAGGAAGGAGCCCAGTTGCTTAGCAACTGTTTAGCTTCTCCACCAGCCTCCTCATCTATTTTAAAATATATATGTATTTTTATATATATATATATATATATCTGCACAGACGTAGGTATGCACACGCATCTGCAGCTCCTGACCCCCCAGCCACCATCCATATATTCTTTACTAATTGCTTTAAAGTCTGTGAGGTGTCAAATTCTCTTCAGGCAGCTATAGGAAAAGATGCCCTGGGCTTGGGGAAATAGGGATGGAAGCACTGGGAGGGCTGTCACCAATCCATTCCCACTGCCCCTTCCCGCGGGCATCCTCCCCATGCCTTGGGGCTGGAGGGCAGCGCTAACGAGCCCAGAATGGCTGCACTTTTAAAGCTACATTTGCCTTTTTTCCTCGCTCTTGAAGGTCTGACTCACAGTTTTTGGCACTGGAAGGCAGCTCCGGAGAAGGTCAGCCCAATTAATGGCAGCAGCCCCGGACTTTTCCTCCTTGTAACTCCAGCTGGGTGTTAGGGGAGGCTGGCTGCCTGGCCATGATGTTCTGGCATATTTTGTGTCCTGAAAAAAAAAAGATCTTCTCCCAGCTGTCGCCACAGCACAGACGGGGAGCAGCCTGGGATGGGGCTGTGCCTGCTGGGGGACAGGGTTCTGCTTTCAGTCAGTGGTGGGGTGTCCTGATGAGATCCCAACAGGCAGGAGAACCATGGGGACCACCCCGCTCAGCCTCTCTGGAGTGACTGGAGCATCCTCACCTCATCCGGGCTGTCTCTGGCGTGCTGGGGCCGAGCTCTGGCACGCTCAGTGCACGAGTGGTCCGGGGAGCCGCCGTCCTGGGCGCTGTGCCCACATCCCGTGCCCGCATCCCGGCACGCGGGTGCTCCCGGCTGGTGCAGCTGGATGTGGCGAGAATTAATGGAGCACCGGCCGGAGGCGGCTTTAATTAGCACCGAGGCACGGCGAGGGGGCAGGAGGACCGCTGCCGCCTTTCCCCGGCGAGGGAGAGACGCCGGGAGAGCATGCAGGCACCCGGGAGAGCATGCAGGCACCCGGGAGAGCATCCGGGCCCCGCTGCCGTCCCCGCTCCCCCGGGAGCCGCTCCAGCCGCAGTACGGCGGCCGGGCCCTGCGGCGGCTGCTCAGCGCCGGGGCTGCGGGCACGGCCCGGGGCTCAGCGCGGCCCAAGGGGCATCTCAGCAGAGCCGGGTGGGAAGGGGTTTGTTCTGGGATGGGAAATAAAAAAAGGCCAAAGCGGTTTGGTGAAATAATGCTCTTCCCCGCATCATTTTGCTTTTTTCTTTTCGGGCTGGAGTTCTGAGCCTGTGAGCTGGACAAAGCCAGGTGGGACAGCCCCAGGGCTGGGACATGGGGACGGTCACATCCTGGGGCCACCCCAGTCCACAGGGAGCGAGCTCCATTCAGAGCTTGGCTGGAAACCAGCAGCCCCAAAGCCTGGCAGGATTGTGAGGCTGGGCCTTGCACCCCGAGCTGGCAGGGCCTGTCCTGGCTGTGTGACAGGGGCACAGTGCAGTGTGTCCGTGCTTCTGTCTGTCCTGGCAGTCTCTGAGCTGGTACTGAGGGTGCCCAGCCCTCCACACTCTGGGTGTGATTCAGCATGGCTGGGGAGGGAGGGAGAGACCCAGGCATGGGATGGAGGGTGAGGAGCAAGAGAAAGGAGAAGAGGGATGAAGTTGGTATATGGGGATGAGGAGGAAAATGGACAATAGGGATGGGGATCGAGAATGGGGATGAGGATGAGGATGGTGGATGGGAAGGATGATGAGGAAGGGGATGAGGAGGAGGATGAGGTTGGAATTTGGGGATGAGATCGAAGATAGGGATGGAGGAGGGGGCATCTCTGAGCACTTCCAAAAGCTCTAATCCAGGTATCAGAAGGCACCTGCAAGCTGAAAAGCTGGATTGACCTCCCCAGGGCCCAAGGTGGCACGTAGGAGGAGGATCAGGATCCCAAAATACGTGGGCGAATGCCTGGTTAATATGGGAAAAGGAGGATTTGCTCAGGAGTCTCCCCAGCAGCTCCAGCCCATGGTGCCAGGGGGTTTGGGCCCTCCTGGGTGGCAGTAAGGGAATTTGGGAGCTGGGAATGGATGTCAGCAATTGTCCCCAGCTACATCCTGCAGCCTTTGGGAGTGTGTGGAGACACAGAGCTCACCCCAGGATCCCTCCTCTCCCTCTGGGCAAGGCAGCCAGGCAGTGGCTGCCAGTGATTGATGTTTTGTGGGTAATTACTGCAGATAATGAAATATTTAACCATCATCTTTATTATCGGGGTAGCGCCGAGCCGGGCGGGAAACCACTGCTGTTTGGCCAGGGCTGTGCTCATGGGTTTGGTGCTGATTTTGGTGCTGGCACAGCCAGGTGGTGGCCAGTGGATTTGGGTCGTGGTGGTGGCAGCCACTCTGTGTCCCTGAGCTCCCCTGTGAGTGCAGGCATTGCTGGGGCTCTCCTTGTGGGGCAAGGAGAGCACAGACCCAGCTGGGGGACATGGGCTCCCTCTGCCCTGATGCCTTGTCCCCATTGTCCCCAGCAGTGTAGGGCTGGCTCTGTTTGGCACCCAGGGATTTGCCTGGGCACCTTTGGAGAGCTGGGGGAGGCTTGTAGGTGGATTTTCCCCATTCCTTTGTTTCCCTGGCCATGCTGGGGCTGGTGGCAGCTCCCAGGCTGAGGGGACATTGGGGTCAGCACCATGTCTGTCCCCAGGCCAGCTCCACCTGCCTGGCCCCAGCTGCAGGGGGATTTCTCCAGCTCCATCCTTTTCATGGGAGCAGGGAACATTTCCTGGTGGATCTGCATGCCTCCCCCACCATGCAGCCTTCTCTCACAGGTGCCCATCCAGCTGCCAGCTTGCCTCCATCTACCTGCCCAGCTCTCTATCCCACACACTCTCAAGGTTTTTCAGCAATGAATTTATCCACTGCTGGGCTCAGGATAAAATGAATTCCCACTGGGGATAAGCGAGCAGAGGCTGCTGCAGAAAGAATCCTCTCTCCTTCCCTGAGCCCCTCTGTGGGGAAAGGTTTCCAAGCAGGGAGTTTCCCCCTTTCCCCAACTTCCTTCCAGGTTTTTGGCTTCATGTCCTGATGACAGAAAGAGGGAGAGGAGCCCTCAAGGCAGGTTTTTCTGCAGCATCTCTCTGTTCTCCAGCCTGGAGCCATGCTGGGATATGGAGGGGGCTGGGTTCAGGGTAGGAAGGGAGGGCTGAGCAGGGCTATGGGGTGTCATGGGGTTTGAAATGGGGGTGCTGCAGGCAAGGGGGGACCAGGGGACCCTCCAGGTGCAGGGATGAGCATCCAGGAGTGCAGACTCCTGGCTGGCTCCTGCTGCACTAGCAGGATCTCCCCTGTGCCGCTGTGGAAATAAAGGCTGCTGACTCCTCTCTGCATGGTAGTAATGGGGGGTGGCGGGGGGAGGAAGGAAAAAAAGAGCCTTGTAATTAAGCACTCAGCTGCTGTTCTCCCTGGGCAGGCTTGTCAGGAGATAAATGACTGTGTGGGGCAGCCAGTGGCAGCAGGAGGGTCAGGGATGTCCTGTGGAGATGCTGTGGGGTGGGAGACACCTTCTGGCCAGGCTGGGATCCCCACCACACCAGGGGGGGCTCCGGGGTATTTTCTCCTCTCAAACAGCAAAGAAACCTCATCAAAGCCTCTCGTGGGTGGTCTGCATTCCCACCCTGACTCTGTCCCAGCTGGCCTGGCCACAGAAAGCTCTGAACTGCTCTGAACTGGTGGGATGGCACACTGGGAATGACAAACCTTTCCTGGGCTTGAAACAGTGTGGATCAGTCCATGGTCCATCTGCTCTTCCTGCTTCTGCTGGGCTTAGGGATTGCCTCCTTCCCTGGGCCAGGTGAGGATGGAGCAAACGCCATCCATGAGTCCATGGTCCATCTGCTCTTCCTGCTTCTGCTGGGCTTAGGGATGCCTCCTTCCCTGGGCCAGTGTTTGCCCCATCCTCCATGGGCAGCATGTGCCAGCCATCCAAGGATTGGCTGTTTCCTGCTTAGGAGATGGCATGCAGGCATCACCCATCCTTGGAAAAGCTTCTCCAGCACGATCCCTGGGATAGAAACACCTCAGAGAAGTGTCTTTTTGTCAAAAGCTGCCTCTCCAAGCCCAAATCCAGCTTGGAGAGTGAGGCAGGATGCTCTGCCTTTGCTCCTGATCGTTTCCCTTTGTGCAGGGCCCCTGTAAAGGCAAGGTGGTGCCTCTGCAGCCTGGTGGAGCTGGTGGTTAAGGCAGCAGATCTCCAGGGGAGCATCCCATGCTCGGGAGAGGGCTGGAGTGCTGGGGCAGGGCAGGACAGTGAGGAATGGGTGCTCAGCCATGCGCCGATGGCCCGAGGGCGCTGACACAGGGCTGTGTCTGTCTGGCTGATCCAGGAGATTTGGGAGCATCTCCTCCCTCCGGCTCGGGGAGCATCAGCCAGAGCCTCAGCACGCCAGTGCTGCTTGGGAACAGTTGTCCTCTTCCAGGGGTTATTTCTGGAGCCAAGTGAGGACACATTGACTGTGTGGTGGAAAGAGGAGCAGAGACACGTGAAGGTGAAGGAGCAGGGAGAAGGCAGGGGGGCAGCAGCTGGTGGGGACCCTCATCTCCCCTTGCAGCCCACACTGGGCCGTGCCAGAGGATGCCAGGCCATAGTCAAAGAGTGCCAGGCCATGGCCCAGCAGCATCAGCAAGTGTTTGCTGCCTGAGCCAGACCACAGGATGTCCCACCACTGCAACCAATCCAGCCAGTGCAGCTGGGAAATGCAAGGGGATATCTGAGGTCTTTGGGTGCCTAGAGGGCTGTGAGGGTGGATCCCTGTCCCTGCTCCAAACCCACACTGACCCCCACAATGGGGTTCATGGGGTCCATGTCCTGCTGCTGTCTTGGGCCACACAAACCACCCCTGGCCAGGTTTTTCCAATACAAGGCTGGAGCAGAGCATCCTCCTCTCTTTCCCGGGAGCCAGCCCTCTTGTCTTGGTGACAGAAGTAGCCCCAGCCTTGCTTCTGAAGCAAGGTGCAGGGACATCTAGTCACTGTCCCCATCATCCTGCTTTCAAGACTGATTTTACCCTCAGGTCCTACAGGGCCCCCTCACTGTCACGGGGTGGGAGGGGAAGCAGGGCAGGGTCTGACCCTGACTCCTTCTCTCCCTCCCAGGCAATCATGGCTCTCTACAACAATGGGGCTGACGTGCCTTCGCCCCAGGAAGCCTCCAACGGCTTCCCCCAGCCCGGTGCCTCAGGAACGTGGCACAAGGGTGAGGAGGAGGTGAGGCTGGTGGAGCCCAGCGTGGTGAAGAAGGCTCACCGGGAAATCCTGGACCACGAGCGCAAGCGGCGCGTGGAGCTCAAGTGCATGGAGCTGCAGGAGATGATGGAGGAGCAGGGGTGAGTGGTGGGGACGTCGGGGATGGGATCCTTTTGACCTGTTTGCACCTTGTTCTCCCCCTTTAAGAAATATCTTGATGTGGCAAGTGTCACCATTTGGAAGTAAATCCACTTTTGGGTGAACCAAACAGCTTTGGTGGGTTGGTCTGTGGTGGGAAATGCCTAGGAGTTCATCCACTTGCCCTGCTTGGAAGTTTGGGCTCCCAGCTTGTCCTGCAGGGAAAGCTGAAGCAGGAAGGAGGAGTGAAGCTGTTCATGGATGTGCAACTCATCAGTGCCACCTACCCTGTGCCCCACATGCCTGGGATGTGAGATCCCAGAGGAAAGCTGGGGTTTGGTCACAGGAGAGGCTGGTTTGGGGCTTCAGTTTGCCCTGTTTTCCTTCCCCTCTCCAGTTTTGGGGTGATGGCACCCCCGGCCCCCATCCTGCCAGTGCCATGGCCAGGCACTGCAAGCTGCTCCCCAGCCTTTGCTCTCCCCTTGGGAAACAAAGGGATAGGGAAAAACACAAGGGGCTGAGGAACATCCCTTCCTGGGTGGGCAGAAGGGACTGGGGGGCCAGAAAGGAGACCCCCATCCCTGCTGGGCAGGGCTGTGCTGTCTCTGAGCAGCCAAACATCCTGATCCCTCTGACAGCTCTCTAAAACCTGATGGATGGAGCAAATTCTTCAGCACACTTGGGTAGATGGGAACTGGTATCAGCTGGGGAGAAGGAAAATGGATTGAGGGAAGGCTTCGCCAAGGCTTTCATTAAGAGTGCAAGCGTGACCTAGAATTAAATTGTCTCACACAGACTGGAATAATGATTGTGCCTAATTTGTCATTATGGAAATAAATAAGGCTGACCTGGCGCTTTGGGGAGCCCAGAGCCTCCTGTCGGGTTCCCGAGCCCTAGTAGGGATCTTACTACTGGTAGTAGCATTACTGCAATGGGTAATAGCAACACTGCAACCAGGATTGTTGTTATTGCTGTAATTGCTTTGCTGTTATTAAGGCTATTAATAACACTGATGATGGTGATACGCCAAAATGATAATATAATTACAGTAATAATCTTGGTCAACCTGCTTAATCCTCTGCCTGCTCTTCCCCTCCACACAGGGGCTTTCCAGGGGGGTTCCATGAGCAGGGATTTGCACCCCTGAGGTTTCTGCCTGCACCAGGGGCAGCCTCCTGGCCATGGCCTTGGGGAAGTTGCTGATGAGGGCAGAGCTCCAGGATGGATGTGAGTGTCAGCAGAGTGGGTTCTGCAGGGATTTAAGCTCTCCCTTGTTTCCTTAAAGGCACATGGCTCCTCCTGCCTGTGCTGGAGCTGGCTCCAGGCTGCCTGCACTGTTATTCCCTGCCTGCAGGCTGGATTCCTTGTCCAGAAAAGAAGTGTCAGCAAATTTTCTTTCTTTCCCAAATCGGTTCTGTATGTTAAATGCAAAAGCAGACCCCCTCCAAGAGGGTTATAAGCAGCACCAGGGGAATGCAGGAGGGAAAGGGCTGGTGATGCTCCTGCCTCCATCCCTGGAGGTGGTGGGGAGATCCTCGCCTTGGCCTCCCCCCACAGATTTGCTAATGGCCCAGCCACTGTGGCCCATCTGTCACCTCCTGTTCGGCCTCATGTCCCCTCTCCAAGAGCACCGGCCGTGTTCTTAATATGCTGCAGCAAATGCTGATCTCGGGCAGACATCTTCCTGCTGCTGTGGGCTGGCTGCTGTCCATGGGATGGCCGGGGCTCTCAGCTCTGTCCTTCTGGGGTGGCCACTCTGCCCAGCTGGGTGCACTGCCATCGAGGGAATGGAGCAGAGCAGCATTTGGGGGTGCTACCCTGGTTTTGGGGCTCCCCACACCCAGGTGCAAGGTGAGGGGAAGCAGGCTGCCTCCATACCTTGTTATGAACCTTCCTTCTGCGTGGAGTGTGGCTGCAGAGTTAATGAGAGCCTTTCAGTGCAAATGAGTTTGTTAATATTAATTCCCCTCTCCTTGCTGTTCCCCTTCATGGACACTGCAGGAGGGGTGGGTGGTGCTGTGTGCCCTTCTTCACCCAGGGCACCCAGAGCACTGCAAGGGGCATCACTGTCCCCAGCACGGGCTGTGTGACGTGCCAGCCTTGGGGACTGCAGGGCTAGGCCTGGCTCTGGCATCCAGTTTTCTGGGCTCATGGCAGTGATGCTGATGGGGTGTGATGGAAAGGGTGAGCCACGAGCAGCCCCTCTAGATGCTGTGTCTGAGGACAGGGACACACACAGAGCCTGACCCCTTGCCTCCCAGGGTGGCAGTGTGGTGGTGACATGAGGTCCCTCTCCCTTCACCCTGTCCCCTGGGATGATGCCAAGAGCATCGTGGCTCTCTCCAGTACATCCTTCTGTTGGAATGTTTTCAGTTGAGGAGGATGCTCAGGTGCCCTTGTGCAGCCACGGGATGTGGCACAGGACCACCCCTACCCAGGGCTGTCACCTGTCCCTTCCCAGGGACACCTCGGGGACGGCAGGAGTGCCGTGGTTTGCAGTGGCTGCTCTCAGATGCCAGGACACAGTGATTAGTGTCTCTCGTTAATGACCCTGCGGTGCCTGAGTCAGCTCAGCAGTAGCACAGAGCTGGCACAGCTCTCAGGGCCCCAGAGCATCAGGGGACGAGCTGGGGGAGCTCATGATGGGACAGAGATGCTGAGAGGGAACCCCAAAATCACTGGCTGCAGTGGTGGCACTGCCAAGAGGGTTTGGTGGGCACTTTTCCCAAAGCCTGGGGCGGTCACAGGGAATGGCAACCTCACAGTCATCCTTTTCTTCTCCCCCTTCTTGGTGTCCCTCCCTCTGCCAAGCACTGCAGGGAGAAGCAGGCAAGGGAGAGGAGGACACAGATAGTGGTGGCAGGGGACCGAGCAGAGGTCCTGCTGTCCTCCAGGCCCTGATGACTATCACCATGCCTCCTCCCCTTTTGATTGGCCCCTCGGGCCATGTGTCCCTTCCAAAGGTACAGAGTTCCTCAGAAGGTCCATGGGGAGCCCATGCTCCAACCACAGCAGCCCTGACCACGTCTTTGCCCATCCAGGTACTCCGAAGAGGAGATCCGACAGAAAGTGGGGACCTTTCGGCAAATGCTGATGGAAAAGGAGGGTGTGCTCACCAGGGAGGACCAGCACGGGCGCCACATGTAAGTCAGGCAGCTTCCAGCTGGTCCATCTGTGTGTCTCACCCCAGAGAGGCACGTCCTGGATTGCCTCTGAGCATCAGTGGGCAGGTGGGTGGGTGGATGAGGGTTTATCTAGGCATGGCTAGATAGATGGATGGACATGGAGAGGGTACAAAGGGATGGATGGATGGATGGATGGATGGATGGATGGATGGACGGATAGATGGGTGTTGGCTTTGAGTCAATGTTTGTTTTGATTTGATGGTTGGTTGGTTGGTTAGTTGGTTGGTTAGTTGGTTGGTTGGTTGGTTAATTTGGTGGTTTGATGTCTGATAGATGGGTGTTGGCTTTGAGTCAATGTTTGTTTTGATTTGATGGTTGGTTGGTTGGTTAGTTGGTTGGTTATTTGTTTGGTTAATTTGGTGGTTTGATGTCCGGTGGTTGATTGGTTGATTTGATAGTTTGTTGGTTGATTGGCTGGTTGGTTGGCTGTTCAGTCAGCTAGAGGCAGGAATTGCCCCTCTAAGGCAGTATCCTACCTTGGGAGAGGTTAAAGGTTATCCTGCACTGGTCATTTGGGTGCTGTGCAGAGGCCAGTGTTGCAATGCTCCAGTCCCAGAGGATGAAACCCAAGTGCAGAAGGTCTCAATGCTTGGCTCACCCCACCGGCCAGGGCCAGGGACCCCATGGAAGAAGCTCCTCCAAGGAGATCCTGTACTGTTCCTCTGCTTCCAATCACTCCTCACAGTGCCTGGTCCTGGGGGGCTGCATCTGCCCTGGAAGGGAGCTTAGGGCTCAAGTTTGGTGTCCAGAGCAGCCCAGCTCCTGCTGGGGACATGCCAGTTGCTGCTCCTGCCCTGCACAGGACTATTCCCTGCCTCACCAGGGTCTACCCAGCTCGATGATGATTTATCAGTGCAATGCTTAATGGCCCAGGCAGCATGGCTGGCCTGGCGTGCACCATCCATCAGCCTGGAAACCAGGTCACTTGGGACAGGAATAGATGCTTCAGGTTCACTGAATATTAATGCTTCATTAGGGTCAGGAAATCAGGGCGAGGGGGGAGGCAGGGAAGCCATGGCAGCAGGGAGAGCCTCCCTCACACCACTCTGCTGGCACGCCAGGCAGGATGGGACACAGGGACATGGCTGTGCCCTGCCTGGATGTGGCTCATGGGCTTGGGATGGCATGAAACATTCAGGATCCTCCTCTAGGCAGGAAAAAACAAAGCATGGGGGAAGCCAACCTGCCCAGGTCACTGAGCATCATGCCTGAGGTGTTAACAAGTGGCCTTTGCTGGTGGGGGCAGGAGTCATCTCCAGGGCATCTTCCTGGCAGGCTCGTTAGGGCCAGCGCTGTAACGAGCACGCGGGGAAGCCAAAGGTGCCTGAAAGTTACCCAGGCAGCCCGGGCTGTCACCTTTACAGGCTTGGTTTTGCAAAACGAAGGGTAATCATTAAAGATTAGCCCCAGGGCTATAAATAATAGTGCTGAGCTGGAAGGAGCAGTCTCACAGCAAAGGATTGCTCAGAGGAGAGCAAAGCCAGAGGCACCTGAGGAGGCTGGTGGAAGCTGGGTCCAAAGGAGGTGGCTCCTCATGCTGCAGGGAGCATATCCTATGTGCCAAAGGTCTCTGCTGCATGAAGAGGCTGGACAAGGGGCTTAAATAAGCTTTAAATAAAGAGCCTCAGCCCTTGTGGTGGCTGGGAGAGTGCTCAGCAGAACATCTCGTGGGCTGGTCCCGCTCCAGCACCGCTCCGGGCTTTTACTGCTTGGTCCTTGGCTGCTGGGACTGTGAGTCTGAACCAGCTGGTCCTGTTTCAGAGCCAGTGTGAGGGCTCAGCATCATCTGCATAACTCCCCAGGGAAAACTGAGGCACCGAGCAGAGCTGTGACCACCTGAGTCCCTGGCTTTGCTCTTTGTGCTCTCCCAGCTCCCGTCTCCGTGTGCACAGCTCGGTACAGCCCGGTCCCCAAGGAGAAGGGTTTGATGGACAGGCTGGTGGGATTGCAGACAAAGGCAAGCGTGTGCTGGGCAGGGAGGGATAATTGGAACAGCACAAGGCTGGTCTTGAGCTGCTGAGCACAGCTAATGGGTGAGATGCTGGCAGCAGGCTCCGGCGTGGAGCTCTGCCTGCTCACAGAGCAAAGACACACACAGAGAATTAACCCGGCTCCCTTCTCTCTTTGCCTCTTTTGTCCCCCTTCCCACGGTTGGGTGGGTGGTTGAAAGGCTGATTCTACCTCTGGGACATGGCCAAAGCAGGAGTCATGTGGAGAGGACCCAGCCAGCCATGGCTGTGGCACAGAAGGGAGCCCGAGTCCTGCTTGAGTGATCACCCATGGTTAGGGGGAGGGTGCCTCGTGCGTAGTTTCGGTCCAAGACATTTCTAATTAGGTTAAACAGTCCATGGCCTGCCTGTGGCCAAGGATGCCAACACGTGCCACTGTCAGATCTGCAGTCTGGGACTGGCAGCTTCCCTCTTCTCAGGCAATGGCCAGGCTGCCAAGGGACTGATGCTGTGGGGCTGCGCTTCTCCACCAGCATCACTGACTGCTCACCTCCAGGCTGGGAAGGGCAGAGGAGCCCACATGAGGTTTCTGAGGGCAAATCTCCCTTGGGAAGCAAACACCTGGGCTGCTGTGGTGTTGGGCACCCTCCACGCCTGTCCCCCTCTCTTAAGTTTCCTTCCAGAGCACCTGGATGTCCTCGTCCCTCTATGGGTGAGACGTCCTACATCCCTCAAGAGCAAATGAGAAGCTCCCTGTGGGTTTTGCTCCAGGGGATGATGGCAGAGCCAGCCCAGGGAGCTGGGGGCATCAGGGAGAGGTTGGGCAGGGACTCCTGAGACTGTCCTAGTCCAGCTGCCAGGCCTCTACCAAGCCCTGCCCACAGCCCCGGTAGTCAATGGCAACCTCATGCCGGTTTCCATGGCAGTGGGAAAAATTAATGCTGATGAAGTCACTCAGGGGAGAGAGAGAGACCCTGATGGCTCTAGGCATGATGTCCCCCCACCCCTTCTTCACCTGGTCCTAGGAGGGACATTGACCTGCCTGAAGCTGCAGTGCTGAGCTGGTGGCACTATGGGGTGCTGGCCTCAAAGCCCAGATCATCCTGGGCAGTTCCCACCTAAATTTCCACTGCTGGTCTTCTGCCAGCTCCTCTCACCTTATCCAGCCCCACAACCACCTGGGCTGATCCAGCCACCTGCTCAGCCCCAGCACTTGACCAAAGCCAAAAGGGGCTCAAACGAGCCTGAGACTGGGCCCTGTGGGGAGATGGTGGCCTGAGTCTCACAGTGTCCCTGTGCCAGCCTGGTGGGGATCTCTGCAGGGACTGGAGCCACAGGAATACCCTCAGCAGACCTTCACCCTGGGACTTTGCTGTGTGTGGACATCAAGGGACATGACCAAGATCCCCTGGGGATGCTGTGGCAGAGGCAATGTCCCCCAACCCCTGTAGCTGCTTTGGGGCTGCCCCAGCTGCTCCGCTGGGAAACAGGGAATGGGGATCCCCGAATTAATCCTGCTCTTCCTCCTTTGGCAGTGTGATAGAAAACCACCACGGGGCAGATGGGGAGGAGTACGAGGTGGAGTACCCTGGCTATGGAGAGGGCTGCCTGCTGCAGTGTGACTGCTCGGCCGAGTGCTACCGCGAGGACAGCGGCCACCGCGAGTACAGGTGTGTGTGGATTTTGGGACCTGCTCTGCACAGGGTCCCCATCCAGGCACACAGAGGCCAGGGGCCTGTCCCTTCTTCTTTTCCCAGCCTTGTCTGCTGTCTCCTACAGGTTGAAAAGACGCTCGAGCAGCTCCACCTCTCCTCCACCCAAGAAGAAAAAGAAGAAGAAATCAGGTCACCGCCGGAGCCGGTGAGTCCCCGGCTGTCCCTGCACTGTCCCTCTGGAGGGCAGCTCACCTCCCTGCTCAGCACTTTGCCAGGCTCTGGAGGGGCAAGTCACCCCACTCTGGGGGGCAGTATATCCCTGAATATGTACCCTTAAAAGGTGCAACATGTCTGCATGTATTGATACTGCAACACACGTGTGTACACACACCAACTGCATGCACTGGTGGGACCTTGTCTGGTCCATGTGGGGAAGAAGGTGGTGCCACAGGGCACAGCACCAGGCAGGATATGGCTCTGTGAAGGGTCCATCTGCTCAAAACCTCACCACTTAGCACTGGCTGCCTGGGCAGGATGCTGTCCCTAATGTGCCTTTCTTCTCTGCCTTTCCCATGGCAGCAAAAAGAGGAAACCCGGCTCAGAGCGCAGGTGAGTGAACACTGGGCTGGGTGGGCTGTGGGTCCCCTCTGGGCTTGCAAGGCCACTGGGCACAGGCTGGCCTCTGTCACCCACTGTCCCCCTCTGAAATCCCCCTGGGAATTGGCCACTTTGTCTCCTGCTGGAGGCTGTAGAGCCCACGAGGTGGCAATGAGACACAGCAGGATTTGGGCATTCCAGAATTGAAGGCAGCCAGAGCCCTTCTGCCAAAAGTCCCTTTCTGTCCCCCAGCCCAAATCCCCCAGGAAATAACTGTTCATGCATCCCATGGGGTGGTCCAGGGGAAGCAATGTGGCTGGGGGTGGTGGGACCAGGCTCCCCTGGGCCAGGGGGAAGAGGCAGGGGAGTCCCTTGCTCCCTGCTCAAGGGCACCCACTTCCCCTCTAGCTGTGACAGCTCTTCACCCATCCGCAAGGAAAAGAAAAAGAAGACTGGAAAGAAACACAGACGTGACAGGTAGGATGGACATGACAGCAGGCTGGGGACAGCAGGGGTGGTTGGGGACAGAGGGGCTGGTTGGGGCTGCTCAATCCCTTGGGCTAGGATTTAGAAGTGGGTAGGGATGGACACTGATGACTTTTCATGGGGCCATCATCTCCTCACAGCCACTGTCACCTGCCCCATCCAGCAGCCCACCTCGGGGCCATCCCCCTGTCCTTCTCCTGCCTGGAAACTGCCCAGCCTTTGCTCCCCCCTGGCCAGATCAGTGTATCTCCTTCATCTCTGCCTCCTCTTCATCCCTTAGGTCTGAGTCGGGGTCACGAAAAAAGAGAAGACACAGGTAAGAGTGACAGCTACCAGGAGCTACCCCACTGCCACCAGCTGCCAGCTTCCCCAGCACCTGTGTGCTGCCCTCCTGCTGTCCCCTCCCCTCTGCCCATCGTGATGGGCCTCCTCACCCCACAGCTGGACACTGCTCTGTGTCCTCTGCCCTTGATGTGGCACAAGGCCACTCTGGATGACTGTGGGGCCCCAAATGTCCCCCAGTGGAGGAGAGAGGATCCCAGGCAGCCATGGCCAGGGCAAACCTTGACTATTGCCCTCTGTCAACACTGCTATTTTAGAGTGAAAGGAGTGAAAAACACACAAAGGGTGCCAAAGAGAGCACAGGGCAAAACAAGTGGGGGCACGTCAATGGTCCCCCCTGAGGATGCTGAGCAGAGCCATTCCACCCTGTCTCTCCTGCCTGGTGTCACCAACCTGACCTGACCCCACAGTCCCCCCAAATCCATCTGGGATCCCCGCCACGCTTTGAACCTCAGTGGAGCCCGGCTCCAGAGCAGGCAGGTCCTTCCCCTCGCTCCTCCCGCAGCCTCGGTGTCTCTGGGGGGCTGGGAAAGCCACCCCCAGGTGCTGCCCCCGCTCCCACGTCTGCAGCTCTCGGCTCTTCCCGCAGGTCCCGAAGCCCCAAGAACAAACGGAAAGAGAAAAACAAAGAGCGCAAGAGGTGAGGGGCCGGGCTGGCGGGGGCAGCGGGCTCTCTGTGTCCCCGCGTGTCCCCCGCGGCCGCTCAGCCGTCCCTCGGCCCCGGCCGCCCTCTCCGCAGGTCCCGCAGCGAGTCCCCGGCCTGGCGCTCGCACCGCCGCAGCTCCTGCAGCTCCCACAGCGCCTCGCTCTCCTCCGACGACAGCGGCTCGAAATCCCCGGGCAGGTAGGGACAGTCCGGGACCCGCCTCCCCACCACCACACCCGGCCACAGCCTCCGCCATGGGACCCTGTGGGGTAGAGGGCAGGGACAGAGATGTCCTTGTGAGGGACACCCTTATGTGTGGGAGGGAGGAGGGAGGCAGAAGTGTCCCAGGGATGGGGACCCCGGGGGATGGAGGGCAGAGGCAGGGGGCAGAGGTGTCCCAGGGATGGGGACACTGGGGGATGGAGGGATTTGTCATCCTTCAGCGATTCTTACTTGGTTTTGGAAAGCAGAGAGGAGGAGGAGAGGGCCTAAGAAAGGAACAATCCTTCTGCACCCCCTGACAGGAGGGGACAGCTGGGTGGGGACTGGGCTCTGCTCCCAGGGAACAGGGACAGAACAAGGGGAAACGGCCTCAAGCTGTGCCAGGAGAGGCTTAGGTTGGACACCAGGAGCAATTTCCTCATGGCAAGGGTGCTCAGGGGGATTTGGAGTGCCCATCCCTGCAGGTGTCCAAGCAAGGCCTGGAGGTGGCACTGAGTGCTCTGGGCTGGTGACGAGGTGGGCATAGGGCACAGCTGGGACTCCATGGGCTGCTTTGGGAACATGGTCCCCAGACGGGGTTTCAATTTTTAGCTAAAGACAGCACAAAGCACCAATTCTCACCCCATTTCTGGCTTCGGCAAAGCCTGGGCTGCAGCCGGCGGCTCTGCTGGAGCGCGGGGCGGGCTCGGGGCCGGCTCGGGGCCGGGGTACCTTCAGCTGACGGTGCGGTTCTCCTCAGGCTGAGCCCCAAGCGCCGGCAGGATGGCCCCAAGGGCAGCAGCGCCCGCTCCAGCCGCAGCCCGTCCTCGCCCTCGCCGCAGCGCTCGGCCTCGCCGCACCAGAACGGGCACAAGGGCAGCGCCCAGAACGGCCGCCACAGCCACGGCGCCGCGCTCCCGGAGCCCTCGGATGTACGTAGGCTTTTCTTGGATCACTCTTCGCTTCCCTCCCCTCCTCCCTCCACAGGACTGCCCCCCTGCTCTCCTCTCCCCTCCTTCCCCACTCGCTCGGCTCCCCGCCCTGCCCAACCGGAGCACACGGGGGAGATGGGGGGTGCGGGTCGCACCCTCCCAGCACTCACCGACCCCGCGCTGGGTGCACGATCTTCCTGGGGGAGCCAGCCCACCACCCGGAGGCAGGGATCAGGGCAGCCAACAGGTCATCCCCCTCCCAAAGCCACACCTGCGGATGTCACCCCCGCCCCGGGATGACGGCTTGGCAGGCCAGCATCACCTGCCAGGGCCAGCACCGGGCTCGGCACCTCCCTGAGACTGATCCCAGGCAGCCAAGAAATGGCCAAAGCAGGAAAATTCTTGTTTGCCCACCAGCCCCAACTCTCCCTAGTGCCAAGGGGCCTACACCAGTGCTCAGGACTCCAACACCCAGTCTGGCCAAGTTAGGGTTTGGAGGGAATTTGATGCTGGATGCTCAGATTTTAGGACCTTGAGGTCCCCATGGCAGGTGACATCGGAGCTGAGCATCCCCAGCTCTGCCTCAGCATCCCGAGGTGAAAATCTTGGTGAAACCTTGAGGAGTGGGGCAAAGCCCAGGGGTCCAGCCCCAGTTTAACCAGTGCTGGGCTGGTGAGGAGCCTGCTTTGGCGGAGGGGGGCTGGAGGCAGGGCTGAGCCAAGGCAGGGCGCTGCAGGACTCCACCAATGGAGCCCACGCAGGTCCCCACCTGCCCCAGGGAACTTTATTCCCACAGCTGAGCTCCTGGGCTGGCAGCACCCACCGCTGACACCCCAACACCTGCAGGGCCAGGGGCACCCCGGGAAACGGGGCCGGGAGCCCCTGACCCCACATCCCCTTGGCCCTCCCCAGCCCAGCACCCCCAGCAGCACCCAGCACCCTGCCCGCCTCTCGGGGCACCTCTCTGCTTTCTTCTTTGCTGTGGTTCGGCGGGGGCGCGGGGGGGTTCGGGGGCCCCGGCCGGCCCCGCTCCCGCCCCGCCCAGCCCAGCATCGCCCAGGCCGCCGAGCTCCCCTGGCTCCCCGGCACCAGCGGGACTTTTCTCCAACAACTTTCTCTCTTTCTCTCTCTCTCTCTCTTTCTTTCTCTCTCTGGTTTCTATTTTTTATTTTTTTTTCTTTTTAATCCCATCTGTGTTTTTCTTTAGCCTCCCATTTGAAAAAAACCCAAACGGTAATATACACTTCCATTTCTTGCTCAGCAGAAGCAGGGACGAGGGGGAGGGAAGGGCAATGAAACGTGCTTTTTTCCCCGCCCCCTTGTTTTAGTTTCCTTTCTCATTATTTATTTTCTTTTCCCTTGTGATGTACAGAAATGCAAACGATATATATTTCTCTTATTTTTATTTTCCCCCCACCCCGTCGTCGTCGTGTTGTTCTAGAATTTTTTGCTTTTGTGTGTGTTAATGTGGAGAAGAAAAAAAAACAACAAAACAAAACCAAAAACCCGATGTGTTTTCTAAATATTTACGGCCGCTGAACATTGTATTTCCATTTTCTATATTTTGAACAAGGAATTTAAAAGGGAAGAGAACCCAGCAGCTCTACACTACAAAGGAGCGAATTGCCCTTTTCCTCCTCAAATTGGCATCTGCCCGGTGTCCTGGGCTGGATCCTGCTGCCGTGGCGAGCTTTTCCTCCCCGCTGCAGGATGAGGCCGCTGGGTGCGGGGCTGTCCCGCATTCTGCATCCCAGAGGATGAGCACCCAGCCCCTCCCCGCCTCCCGCAGACCCCCCAAAAGCTCCGGGCTCGGCCGGGTGAGCCGTGCCCACCCCGCACCCCCAGAGCCGCCGGACCACGGGGCACTGCGCGTTGCCTTCCCTTTTAAATACCCAGTCCTGTCTCCATCCATCCCTGCTGCCTTCCCCGCCTTCCTCCTGGGTCTCTCCTCCTCCTCCTCGCCCACACGCACCCTCCAGCCCCTCTCTTTCTCCGGTTTTCTTTGGGCCAGCACCACCCGCCGTCCCTCGCCGTGTCCCACCTCCATCCATCGCCTTCCCTGCATGTTGTCCGGGACTTTGCCATGTTACAGTGACTTTTGAAGAGTGAACCGCAGCCTGATCGGGTTACAGCCACCAGCCAGCCACCCCCCCGCGGCCCCCGCTCGGCGGCCGGCCGCAGCCTTCCAATTAAAACAATAAACAAACAAAACATTTTTAAAAAGAGAATAAAAATTAGAAGCTAAAGAGACCAATTTTAAAAATAATTTAAAATATTCTAAGCAAAGCAAACGGGATTAGCCGAGGGGTCTGGATCGCCATACTAAAGAGTCCTTGTCTTTTTCCCATTCTGCCCTCCAAATGTGGAGATTATTGTTTTCTTTTTTTATTATTGCATTCCTGTCACTGCCAATTCCGAAGGTAGGTATTTTGTCCACCTCTGCACGTTCACTTCTGCAGATGAGCCTGTTGAAAAGCACCGTAGCTTGATTTAATGTTATTTTCTCTTTCTTTCTGACTTTCTTTCTCTTTCTTTCTCACTCCCCTTCTCTGTCTCTCATTTTGTCTCTTTTTGGTGGCTATATATATATTTTTTTATTTGTATGGTTTTCCCCAGTTAGGTGCAAAGCCATGCTCTTCTCTTACGTTCTTTTTTTTTTTTAATATTTTTTTGCCCTGTCCACGTAATATTTTTTTCTTTCTTCCCCCCTTTTCTCTTCCCCGTCTCCTCGTGCTGTCGGTAGAATGCATTTCTGTGTCTTTCAGCCCTCTGAATTTGTGTTGGTTTCCATTCAGGGGCCGAGCACGGCTGTTCCCTTTCAGTCCCCCATTAGTGGCTGGGTAACGAAGGTGAATATATTTAGGGACAAACAGGGGCAGTGGCCAAGGGTAGAAGTGGGCACAGGGGGTTTTGGGGTGGCTGGACTGGGCAAGAAATGAAAAATCTGGGGAGATGTGTGGGTTCAGCCCCTCTTCAGGGGGACAAAAACACAGCTCAGGGAAAATACTGAGGGAGGCTTAAGGAAAGGAAAGGTTTAAATCTTCCTGCGTGGAGAGGGGCAGGTCCAGGACATCCCAGCCTGGAGGGGCAGGTGGCAGCTCCCTGCCCTGGCTGTCCCATCCCCACAAGTGCCCAGTGTGTGTTTTCCCTCTTAGGCTGAGTCTTTGGCAATTTGGGTTTGTTCGGGATGCTTTTACCTTTGCTGCCTTCCTGCATGCCAGGGCAGGAGACTCCAGGGTCTGGGTGGGAACCCTGCATCCCACAGCCCGAGCCCACGGCAGGGCCAGCCAGGGCCAAAATGCCACCCTGGCAGAGAGGAACCCCTCTCTTTATCTCTACATCATCCTCTTCTTCTTCTTCATCATCTTCTCTGCTTTGATGTTCCTCTCCTGGGATGCGGGGCTGGGCATGGACCCCCTGATCCCCCTTTCTGGGGCAGCTTGGCAGGGCTGATCATCACTGCCAGCCTCCCCCTCGCTGCAGCCATTGCAACAGCAACTGGTTTCTAATAAAACCCCCAAATCCCCCCATTTTGGCTGCAGCTTGCTGCTCTGTGGCTGGGGGGATTGGCTTTTCCATGGGGACGAGGAGGTGGTGGGGTGTGGAGCAGTCTGGGATGCTCAGGAGCATGGAAGCTTTGTGTCCCTTTTGCAGCATCTTTGTGGTGGTCCCCAGAATCCCAGCCCTTCACCCTGCCCCCTTCTTGTCTGGGGGGAGAAAAGTGGTGCTGAGAACACAGTGGGATGGGTGGAGAGAACCTCAGTCTCAAGGATCCACTGACCATTCCCTGGTGTATTTGGGGCAAGGGGATGGTGAGGAACTGGGGTCAGCAGCCCTGGGCGTGGTGGCACAATCCTGGCACCAGCCCAATATCCCTGAACCCCTCTGATCCCCTCGGCTGGACTCAGCGATGCCCCAGCAGGATTCCCCCTTCCAGGGACTCTCAGGGACCTGGCCCTGGGCTGTGCCTGGGGCAAGGAGACCCCAAAGCCCCCCGAGCTGGGCTTTGCCAGCTTGGGCAGGCCTGGTGTTGCAGGAGCTGTTTCCTCCCATCTTTTTGGTGTTTGTAAAGAGGGGGGGAACACGAGGCAGCGTTTGTGGCTCAGAGGAGCTGAGATATTTGGGAGCCTCAGGGCTGGGCAAAATCCTTTGAGGTCTCAGTGCTCAGAGCTTGGCCACGGTGGTGGCCCAAGGTTTCCCCTCCCCGTAGGAGAAGCGAGTTGGTTTGTTTTATTTCTCCTCTCTCTGGCTCTGTCTCTGTCTCTCCTCCTTCTCTCGCTCTTTCTTTCTCTCTTGCATTTTTGTGAATCTAATGATGCACTTATATTGCCCCGCTTTTCCCTTCTCTTCATACCTTACCTACTAAAGGAGGAAATGCCACTTTTTTGGTAAGTGGATGTTAACCAAGAGGGACTTAAAAAAAAAAAAAGCATATAATGGAAAAAATAAAAAAAAGGAAGCAGAAAGCAAAGTCTGTGTTGAGTGCTGATGAGGACTTAGCAGTTCCCTGCAGAGTCACAGCTAACAGCTCAATGCGTGTCCCAGGAAGAGCTCAGAGACATTCGTTTATCTCAGTAACGAGGACATTTGTGAAGTTTTGCTTTGTTTTTTATTTATTTATTTTTATTATTTTAAAAAAAAATTTGATTTGATTTGGATGGTTTTTCTTCTTTCTTTTTTGTTGGTTTCTTTTACGCCTTCTCGCCCCCCTCCCCCCCCGCCTTGCCCTCCATTGTCGCTCTGTGCCGTTTTTTCCTCGTTTCTGGATTTGTTTTAAGCCAAAAGCCGTACTATTGATAAAAACTACACGTATCAGAACATATATCTCTATATATGTGCATGCCTCTGTGTGAGCAGACCCCATCACCTCCAGCCCTCTTTGGTTCGACCCTTTCCCCTCGGCTCAGTCTGATTTAGTCTCCCCCACCGCCCCACCTTCCCTTATCTCATCTTTTCTTTATTATTATTATTATTTTCCCCCCATTTTCCTTCCTTCGTTTGGGTTTTATCCCCCTTTTCCCTTCCCCTTTCTTGGTCGGGGCGGGCGGGCACCAGGGTTTGCTTTATCCCCTCTCCAGGTGTTTTTTGGGGTGGGGGGGGAGGTGTGTTTGTTTCTTTCCCTTCAAGCTCTCCCTCCCCGACGACTTGGGGCTTTCTTGGATTTATTTCCTTTCCTCCCATCCCACCCCTTCCTTTGGGTTTTTATTACGATTTAAGTTGAGTTCTATTTTTTTGGCGTTTTGCATGCGGAGGTTTGCATGACCCACGTTGTTGAGGGCGAGAGGAAGGTGCAGAGTAGCGTCTGTGTAGCCTGCCTTATGCGATGTGCATTGACGTTGTGATCTGCGCCCCCGGCCCGGCGCCCCCCGCTAAAATCCCCTTTCTCCTTCTTTCTTGTCTTCTTCCTCCCCTTCCTCCTCTCCCTCCTTTTCTCTCTCTCTCTCCCCCCCTGCCAGAGGCCGGCCTCGGCGTCGCCCTCTCCGCGGGCTCACGGCAGGACGGAGCCGCCGTCCCCCCGCTGCCGGGGGGCTCGACACGGCGCCCGCAGCCCCCGCTCGCCCACGCCCGAGCGGGCCAAGCACGGCCACCGGCACCGCTCCCGCAGCGCCTCGCCGCCCTCCCGGCACCGCGGCCCCAGCAAGGGGCGGCCCGCGGCGCCCCGGGAGCCGCCGCCGCCGCTCAGCCCCGCCGGCTACAGCAGCGACTCGGAGGGCTCGGCCGGCTCCCAGCCCTACCACCCGCCCGCCGGCCCCGACAGGAACCACGGCGCGCACGGCAAGAAGTAAGGGAGTCCCGGGGATGGGGGTCTGGGGGAGCTGGGCTCGGCTCTTTGGGGTGCGGCTCCCTTAAATGCGTCCAGGCAAAGCCCTGGGGGCTGAGCTGGGCAGCGGGGCTGGGTTGGGATGCTCAAGGTGTGGGAGTGGGAATAGGGGTGGAAAGGGACGGGAATGGGAGTGGCAGTGAGGGCGAGGTGGAGATGGGAACGGGGATGGGGACAGACCCAGGGATGGTGATAGGGAAGGGATGGGCTTGGGGATAGGGAAGAGCCACAGTGGGTCAATGGTAGCACACCGTGGGAAGGGCCGTCCCTGAGAGGGATTATCCCACTGCGAACGGCAGGGCCGGGATGGCAGCAGGGATCACAGCCCCCCGCAGGATGCGGGATGCCAAGCAAATGAAAACCCCGTGCTTCACAGTCAGGGATGCAGCCCAGTCAAAAACTGGTGTCATGGAGGTGTTCCTTATGGGAACCTGGGGTCCCTGGCTGCTGTGGGGACACCCTGCCAGCCAGGACGGGGTGCGAGGCGGCGCTGGCATCTGCCTTCGCAGGGTGAAGGAGCGGCACCACCGGGGCCGGCCCAACAGCAGCTCGGAGTCGTCGGCCAAGCACTCCCGGCACGCCTCGGAGCGCAGGAAGAGCCCGTCGCCCAGCCCGGGCCAGCGCAGCAGCTCCTGGAGCTCCAGCGGCTCCCTCTCCAAGTCCCGCTCCCGCTCCCGGGAGAAGAGAACAGGACGCAGCCGCTCCCGCTCGCCCTCGCCGAAAAAGCCAGCCAGCAGGTCAGGCCCGAGGGGACAGGGACACGGGGACACCGCGGGTGGGCTCGGAGGAGAGGGCATCGCGGCTCAGGGTGGCCCCGGCCGCCCCGGGACTCGGGGAGGGGCCGCACGTCATTGCTGGTCACACTGGAAACCAGTGTGGGAGTGTCATCCGTGCAGGGAACTGCGGCCACTGGGTGTCCCTGCGTCCCACACGGGACCCCAGCCCGCTCCCTGACCGTCCTCCTCCTCCTCCCGGGCTGTAGAGAGAAGGACAACGAGCCCCGAACACGTCACGGTGATCCCGATCCCGCCCGCCCCCGGCGCCGCTCCAGGAGCTACTCCCCCATCAGGAAGAGGAGACGCGACTCCCCGAGCTTCATGGAGCCCAGGAGGATCACCAGGTGCGTCCTGGCAGGTGGCAAAGGCTCTGCCACGGCCACTGGCACGGCCCGGGGCTGGGCTCTGCCAGCTGACCACAAAGGGCACCTGGGTGATGGATGGATGGATGGACAGACGGATGGACAACAGCAGCTCTGTGGATGCACAGATACTGTGAGGATGACTGGGTGGATCAGCTGGCCCAGACAGATGGGTACCCAGCCTGCCTCCAATGCTGTGACCTTCTGATCTCTTCCTATTTCGAGGCATGAAAACAGGAATTAATTTTAATCCGCTGTGCATATCCCGGCAATGCGCACGTCCGCAATCACGTCTCTCCTGCCCTCCAAAAGCTGGTTTCTCCTCCTCGGGATCCTATTGCCTGAGGATCCTGAGCTGTAAGACAGGCAATATTTCGTGCCAGACAAAACACTGTGTGCATATGTAGCACCTCGTTAAGATGCAGCAGTGGCGGCGGGGCCGTGCCGAGCCGAGATTACCTCCTTCCTGACCTATTTGTCTCTCCCACTATCAGCTGGGTGATCGGGGGGGGGCTGGATTTTCAGAAATCTGCCTCCCTGGGGGAGGGATTTTGTTTTGCCTGGGCAGGACTGGAGCTGTCAGGAGGGAGGACAGGAGGGAGGACAGGAGGAACACTGCAGAACCCACGGGTTAGAGCCACAGTTCTCCTTGGATGCCCTGGAAAGAGAATGGGCTGGGAAAGCTGCTCCCAGCCCAGCCCAGGTGCCACTGTCTGGTTTGCCATCCCTCCTGCTCCATCCAGGTTTTCCCAGGATGTCCCCAGAGAGGTGGCAGGGCACGGCTGGAGAACACAGACCAAGGTCCCTGTGGGGACTGTTCACCTCAGCCCCATCACCATCCTTGGGGGGGATGGGGGTGGCAGACCCTGCTCTGCTCGGGGTTCAGGAGGAGCAGAGCCATTTCTGTGAGGTGTACAGGATGCTGTGGGGAGGGGGCAGCCAGGGAAACCCCCAGCCCTCCCTGCCTGCCCCACAGCCCAGCCAGAAGCCCCAGGGCTCTTCTCTGCCCGCCTGCCCTGTCCCCAGCTCCCATCACGCCCCTCCACCATGTGGTCCTACCTCAGTGATGCCAACTTCTCCTTTTCCATTTCATCCCAAGGTCCCTCCCGGAGAGCATCGCCGCCAGCCTGGCTCCCAGGGTAACCTTCCCCCTTCCTCCTCCTCCTCTTCCTCCTCCTCCTCTTCCTCCTGGACCCCTCTGTGCCTCCTCACACCTCAGGATGCCCTCAGCACCCAGCTGCTCTCTGGTCCCACTAACACCAGGCTGGGAGAAGGGACAAGGGGCCGACTCCCCGTGTCGCTGCCCCCTGTGTCCCCCACCCCTCTGTCCCTCCTCATCCTCAGGCGCCAGCGGGCTGCAGCTCGCCTCCCGCTAATCCCAAACGTCTCTTTTTCAGCAGCTTTCAATCTTTGGTGTCTGGGAAACACAAAAGCCACATTAACCCGCTCACTTTCTGCCCTCGACGCTGCCTAATCCAGGACTAACACCCCGGGGGAGGGGGCAGGGGAGGAGGAGAGGGATGGAAGGATGGAAGGATGGAAGGGGAGGTGATGCCGCACCCTGGCACCCCGCAGCGGGTCTGAGCCCTGAGGCCGCTGGGCCGCTCGGCTGCCCTGGCCGAACGCTTGGCCACGCTTCCCCAGCGGCCGCGGGGGGCCTGACTCAGTTTCCCTTTTCCATTTGCAGCGCCCGCAAGCGCCCCATCCCCTACTACCGGCCCAGCCCCTCGTCCTCCAGCTCGCTGAGCACCTACTCGTACAGCCGGAGCCGCAGCCGCAGCTACGCCAGCTCCAGCTCCAGCCGCTCCCGCAGCCGGACTCGCAGCCCCCCCAGCCGCTCCCGCAGCCCCAGCCGCAGCCCCAGCTACAACAGCCGCAGCAGCTCGGAGAGCGCCGGCTTCTGAGCGCCGAGAGCCCCGAGAGCCCAGCTCTGCCCCCTCCGTGCCACCTGCGCCCCTCGAGGGACGCGACCAGCGGTGGGAAGGAGCCGGGGGATGCTAAGGACGGAGCCGGCAGCGGGGGAAAGCACGGACGGGAACTCAAATGGGTCCTTGGAACGGCCGGGAGGGGGTGGTTCCCCCGCTCCGGGGTGTTTTGGGGTCGGGATGGGGAAGGGGAGGATCTCTTGTTTCTGCGAGTGCCGGGGTGGGGCGGGGCGGGGCGGGCGAGCACAGAGCGAGGGAACAAATGCTCTGCAGAGACCTTGGGCCGGTGGATGGGGGTGGCTGGGGACACCCCTGGGGTCCCCCTGTGCTTTTTTTTGGTTTTGTTTGACTGTTTTTTAGCACAAGAGCATCCCGGGGAGGTGGGCAGGGGGGCAGGCTCAGCTGGAGGGTGTGATGCCAGCCAGAGGTGAGCAAGGCCCTGTTTGCCCAGGGAAGTTGTCCCCAGGGTGTCATGGGGCACAGGGGCTCTGCAAAACATTTTGGGGTCCCCCCAGACCTGAGCACACGCCGAGCCATGGATGAACAAAGCCGGCAGCACCTGTAATTCTCTTCCCAAGTGAGGAGATCCAGGGAAAAACGCTGCTTGTGCCAGCTCAGGGCCCTGGCACCCTCCCACCCAGCCAGTCTGGGGGGCACCCCGGGAGGAGGGAGCTGCAGGGCCCGGGCTGGGCAGGGGGTGCACCCAGCCATCCCCTGGCCTGTCCCACCTCTGGGCTCGCAGCCCCCCGTCCCCTCCTGCTCTGGGGAAAAGTGGCTGCTTTTTAAACTGAATTATGGGAAGAGAGAGGCAGGAGGGTCCCGGGCTTGGCCCGCCGCCCGGCCTTTGCAGGGTTTTGCTGATTTCCCAAAAAAAAAAAGCCCCCCAGGCGCTGAGGACAGTGTGGCCCCCGGGGGGGTTGGTGGCCCCGCGGTTTCCGGGTGGCTGGAGCAGGACAATGGGATGAGCCTCCCTGGGTGGGAGAGCAGCTGCCCGGATTAACCCGCTGGCCCTGCATGGAGAGCCGGGCTTTGGCTCTGCTTTCCAGCCAGCCGGGATCGGGAGGCTCCTCCGGAGCTCAGCCTCCTTAGGCGTGGCCTGGTGAACCAAAGCACCCGGGAGGACAGAGAGGGGAGCGAAGGGGCACTCCAGGGTCAGCCTCCCAAAGCTGGCATGTCCCGGCTCAGCCAGAGGCTGAGGAGGCACCAGCCCGTGGAGCAAAATCCCAGGAGCTGGGCAGTGATGGGTGCCAGCCCCCGGGTGTCCCAGCACCCGCTGGACAGACACCTGAACAAGCAGAGGGGTTAGAAATGGGGTAAGGAGGGGACACACTCGTGGCACTCCATGGTGCAGCTTGTCCCCACGTGCCAGCCCCGGGCAGGGTGGCAGCTCTGGATGGAGGAGGAGGAGACAAAGGGTTCTGCTCTCCCGGAGCCTGGGGAGGTGGAGGACGCCAGTTCCCCCAGCATCCCACAAACCCTGAGCCACGCGCTCCAAAAACCATCCCAGCAATTCCAGCTGCTGCCCCACAGCCCCCGTCCCCCCCGGCCCCACGGGAAGCTCAGAGCGGCCGCTGGAGCCCCCACCCTGCTGGGACACGGGGGAACCCCCTGCCAGCACCCCAAGCCGAGCCAGCAGCGGGGGTTTCCCTGCAGCCCCAGCCCTGCAGCCCCCGCGGCTCCCAAAATCCCGAGCCCCGACTGCAGCGGCGCCGCGGACCAGCCAGCACATCAGGGAAAAATTCCAGTCTTCCTCTTTTACAGCCTCTGTCTCCTGCCGCGGAGGGAGCCAACTGGAACAAATACTCTGTAGAAATACTTCAGTATTTTCCTGTCGCGCGTGCGCTCTCTCTCTGGGTTGTGAGTACAGCTGTAGATGCCGTGAGCTGGTGCAATTATAATAAATATACAGTATATATTGTAAATTACTCTGCTGGGCACCGAGAGCTTTCTTCCTGCCAGGAGCACGGCAGGGTTATCCCGCTCCTTCCATCCGGCTCCCTGCGGCTCCATCCTGCTCTTCCCTCTGGCTCCATGTGGAGCAGCACCGGGAGTTTTGTGTCTGATCCCACCCAGGGTCCTGCTGTGTCTGTGGGAACCCTCTGCATCCTCCCTGGCTCCCTGCATCCTTCCCTGCGGCTCTCCCCTTTGCCTGCCAGCTCCCATCCGCCTGCCTGCACCCCTCCCTGCATCCCCGCATCCCCGCATCCCTCCCTGCATCCCTGCATCCCTCCCCTCTCCCCCCCATCCCGGCATCCCTCCCATCTGCCTGCAACTCTCCCAACCATTCCATACCTCCTCCATCCCTCTCCTGCTCCCTCCCATCCTTCCCTGCTCCTTCCTGCGTTCCTGCCTGTATCGCTCCCATTTCCCCGCAGCCCTTCCTGCATTCCCACCTGCCACCCTTCCATTCCTCCCCGCATCCCTCCCCTGACCCCTCCCTCCCTCCCAGCATCCCTTCCTGCATCCCCTCCATTTCCTGCATCCCTCCTTGCATCCCTGCCTGCATCTCTCCCGTCCCTCCCCCCCCTAGAGCCCCCCAGCCCCATTATCACCCCCACATTTCCTGCTGCAGCATCCCCCCACACTCCTGGAGGTCACTAATGCGTGCACTGAGTGTGTCAGGGCTCAGCTCCACCCGCCTCCCTCCTTCTCCAGGGCACATCTGGGGCTGAGGGGATGGGCTGAGAGCTGCTGGGCTGGCACAGCCCTTCCCCAGCGTGCGAGCTGGGCTCTGGCCCCGCATGGGAATCCCTTCCCGCGTGCCAGGGGTGTGGAGAGACTTGGATGGGAGGATCCCCTTCCAGCCCTGCAGTCCCTCTGCCCCACCGGAGCCCCCCCAACCCCACTATCACAGCCAGCCCCCACTGGCCCCCATCAGCTCCTGCAAGCCCCCACCAACCCCCACGAGTTCCATTGGCCCCCAGACCCTCACCAACCCCCAGGGCCTCAGGGACCCCACTCCTGGGGACAGGAACAGCCCAGCTGGGTGCTGGGGCTTCCTACCACGGTGCTGAGTGAGCCCTGGAGCCACTGCAGTGCCAGAGGGTGGGGGGCCATGGAAACTTCTGGCTGTTGGGTGAGCAGGACCCAGGGGCTCTGGAGCCTTCTGGCTGTTGGGTGAGCAGGAGCTGGGGAAACCCCGGGCCTCCTGCACTGACTCACGGGGCCGCTCCCGGGGCGCTGGCCCGGCCCCAGCCCCTTCTCAGCCGCGTCCCGGGGATTGTTTTCCGGGCAGGCGGGCGGGAGAGGCCGGGAGCCGCTCCAAGGGCCATCCATCACTCCCAAGCAGGCCGAGCCTCCCCCGATGAAAGGAGGACGGACAATTCCTTGGCAGGGGGGCCCGGAGCTGCACTCCCACCCCCCCACTGCGGCTGCGTGCGGCCGCCCCAAGCCCGGCCGAGCTTCTCGTCCCTTCCCCGGGGCTGCCGCAATTTCCATTAATAGCCAGCTGAGCAGCCCGGCTAAAAATAACCCCGGGCCCTCTTCAAAAGGCGGCGGCGGCCGCCCCCCGCAGCCCCGCACGCCATGGCCGAGCGCCGCGTCCCCTTCACCTTCCTGCGCAGCCCCAGCTGGGACCCCTTCCGCGACTGGTACCATGGCAGCCGCCTGTTCGACCAGTCCTTCGGGATGCCGCACATCCCCGAGGACTGGTACAAGTGGCCCAGCGGCAGCGCCTGGCCCGGCTATTTCCGCCTGCTGCCCCGGGAGAGCGCGCTGATGCCCGCGCCGCTCGGGCAGGCGCTGAGCCGGCAGCTGAGCAGCGGCGTCTCCGAGATCCGCCACACCGCCGACAGCTGGAAGGTCACCCTGGACGTCAACCACTTCGCCCCCGAGGAGCTGGTGGTGAAGACCAAGGATAACATCGTGGAGATAACCGGTGGGTGATGGGGTGGGGCTCTGCGGCGGGAAAAGGGTGGAATGAGGGGTGGGAATAAGGGGAAGGAAAAGCAGGAGATGGAGGAGAGGACAGGAAAAAGGGAAAGGGAAAATCGAGGCACAGAGGAAGGCCCAGCATTACAGCTCAGTCTCGGGGTGCACTCAGGTGCAGAGACCCTCCACCCCATACCTTGACCCCTTGCTGCTGTTCTGGAGGGACACAGGGAGCCACAGAGGGACCCCGGGGGTGACGTGGGGTGTCATGGGCCCTGCAGCCCCCACAGCAGCCTGGATGCTGTGACAAAACCCAGATCTGTGGCACGAGGCCAGGATGTGCTTCCTGCTGGGTGAGGGGGGGCCTGCAAGGAATGGGGGCAATTCCCAGATGAATTCAGGGAGAAGGGATTGCTCAATCTCCAGCCCTGCCAAGCTGTGGGGCCAGCTGGACACTGTGGGGCCCCTTTGGCACCCCCAGCTCCTGGCACTGCACTTTCCTCTGCTTAAATCTGGGGGATGCACCCGGAGTGGCCCTGCACAGAGTCCCTCCAGGCTGATATTGTGGCAGAAGCCCCAGGACGGGCAGAACCAGCCCCTCACCAGCGTTGGGGTGGGGCAGGAAGGTCCCACCCAGCCAGTCCCTTCCAACCATTGAGAGGTTTTTGTTTCCTTCCAGGCAAACACGAGGAGAAGCAGGATGAACACGGCTTCATCTCCAGGTGCTTCACCCGAAAATACACGTAAGTGCCAGGGAGGAGGGGACACACCTGATGCACCCCTCGATGTCTTTGGGGGGCGTTTTCCCACCCACCCACGCCCTGCAAAGTGCACTGGCCAAACCGGGAATGCTGCTCAGCCAAACTGGGAGTGGGGGAGGCAGCAATTTGGGGCTGGGCATTGCATCCCCTGGGGTGGTGCTGCAGCCCTCACCTCCCCTCCCCTTTCCTCTCCCCTCCCAGCCTTCCCCCTGGTGTGGAGGCCACGGCCGTGCGCTCCTCGCTGTCTCCCGATGGAATGCTGACGGTGGAGGCCCCCCTGCCCAAACCCGCCATCCAGTCTGCCGAAATCACCATCCCCGTCACCGTGGAGAGCCAGGCCAAGGAGCCGGCCAAGAAGTAGGCGGCACCGAGGAGGAGGAGGAGGAGACGGAGGAGGAGGAAGAGGAGAAGCCGCCGCTGCCCCCCGCCCCCAGCTGCCCCCTCACACCCACCCCCTTTTTACTGTTGATTTTGTACTCGCCCTGCCACTGAGTGCCTTGAATAAATGTGAAGAATCAGCCGGAATAAAAGCTGGTGAAAGAAACCTGTGCTTGTGGCGTGTCTGCCCCGGCGCCTCGGCTGTGCCGATCCTGCTGGGAGCACCGGGACGGGGCCAGAGGGGCCAGGGGGGCCAGCAGGGTCCCCGAGCCCTGCCCAGCACCGGGGTCTGTCACCCAGGGCTGCACATCCCGGGTGTTCTCACCCCAAGTCTCACAGCCTGGCTCAGCATCCTGGGCTCGATGTCCCAGACCTGGACCCCCTGGGTGTCCCCGCCTGGGATATCCCACACCTGGATATCCCACACCTGGATATCCCACACCTGGCTCTCCCACATCTCAGCTCTCCAAATCCACCTCCAGCAGTCTGGGGGCTTTACATCCCGGGTCTCCAACATCTCTGGTGTTCACATGCCACGTCTCCAGCATCCCTGTCTCAGCATCCCAGTTTTCCAGTCTGGGTCTCCTCCATCCCAGATGTCTCCAGTCCCAGATCTCAGCACAGTGAGTCTCCTCAGCCCTGCTCTCCCCCACTCAGGGTCTCCACATGCCCTATCAGAGAATATTTGGGATTTCCACACCCCGGTGTCACCATCCTGGGATGCTGCATCCCTGAAAAACAACTACACAAACACCCGCTTTGGGTCAGAGGGCAAATAGGGGCTTCATGGGTTTGCCCACCCCAGCAGAGCCCCAGCCCCGTGGTGCCCCCTTCCCTCCACCCCATGGTCTGAGGGACTGGCTTGGGGCTGAGCAGGGTCTGGGTCGTGGTCCCGGTGCCATTTGGCCCCGGCTGGCCCCGTGTCCCCTGTGCCCTCCCTGCCCCGGGGCTCTGGGCAGGACTGGCCCTACATGGCCGAGGTCGGGCCCACGGCTGCCATGTCCCCCGATGTTCCTGCTCCGCCAAATCCCACTAATCCCCCCTGAGTCATCCCGCTGGCAGACGGTGACCTGGGAGGAATCCCGCAGCTGCGAGGCCCCTCTGCGAGCCCGGGGGGCTCCTCGTGTCCCCGAGCCCCTGCCCCTGAGCCCCCGAGCCCTGTCCCCAACCCCTGCCAGCAGCCCGGGCTGTGATGAGCTGGGCAGCTCTCAGCAGGCACTGGGGATCATTCCCGATCCCGGCCATCCATCCCCGCTGCCGGGGGTCCCTCCTGTGCCTGGGGGGTTCCCGTGTGTGGGTGAGCCGGGCTGTGAGGCTCTTCCAGCCCCAGCGTCACTCGGGGCAGAAGCCCCCGAGGAGCATCCCCGGCCCCCTCCCCTCTCCCGTGGCCAGTCCAAGGTGACTTTTCCTTCCCCAAAAAAGCGTCCCCGAGCGGGGGTGGGGTCGGGGTGTCCCTCCCGGTGTGGGGGTGCCCGGTGAGCCCCAGTCCCTTGCCGGGGTGTCGGCGCTGCAGCCCCGGATCCCTCGCAGGGCGCGTGAGTCAAGGCGCATTTTCTGTTTATAGGTTCGCGGGGAATATTTTTACAGCGTGAGTCACCGCGCGTGTGGCTGCGAGCGGAAAGCCATCGGCAAGGGACGGAGGTGGGGAGGACGGAGGTGGGGAAGGACGGAGGTGGGGAAGCGCCCACCCAGCCCCTCCTGAACCCACGGGACCCTCCTGCGGCTCCCACCGCCCCGGGGAGGAGCCGCTGCAGCCGCAGGGATGCGGATCCTCCGCAGCAGCAGAGGGGAGGCGGCCCAGGGCAATGCCCAGGAGCAGAGCCCAGGAGCAGAGCCCAGGCCGTTCCCGAGCCCCCCGGTCCCACGGAGCCCCCCGGTCCCACGGAGCCCCCCAGAAAGTCGAGACAGGCGATAACAATTAAGCAGCGCTGACGTCAGATCTGTAAGTTTATTTGCTCAATGTACGACGGCTACATAATGACTCACATTCATGATATTCCATCACTGAGGAAAAACTGCTAAGAATGGTCCGTGTGTGAAATAATTCCTTACAGAAACACGGAGTTGGAAAAATAATCACTGATTAGACCTTAAAAATAGTTCACTGCATAACATGACAAAAAGCACAAACAAAGGCTCATTCAAAGAACACAGTCATTGTTCTCCTACACTGTAATAGTTATAATTTCACCATGACGAACACCAGACATTAAGATTAAGCTAACACTGGTGTTTTCTTTTGCTTTTTTTTTTTCCTTTTTAAAAACAAAATCATATATAATTGCATGTCACTATAGCAACATCCATAACAGATCAGTTTGTTACGATCACTATTTGGTAGAGCAAACTTTACCCCCGAAAAAAAAAAAGGAAAGAAAAATAAATTAAAAAACTTTAAAAAATTTTTGAAGACTATTTTGTCATAGGAATACATAACATCTACAGTATAAGTTAATAAATTTCAAGCTACTGTATAGAAATACGACACTAGCATGCACAATATTGTATCAATAGAGTAATGGAGCAGTAATCATTTCACTGGAGAGACAGTATCATAGGCAAGTGCATCTCTTAGAAAATGAAAGAAACCATTCAAGCTGCTTAAAAATCAAGTCCCTGACCCCCACTCCGTTTTTAGCCCTCTTGTGCCATCTCTCCTGCATAAGTTTCCTAAAGCAGCCAGAGCGAAAAAGCCAAAAAGAGTAGCAATTATTTGGAGGACAAAAAGAAAAGGGAAAAAAAAAAAAAAGATAGGTTTTGTAATTCCAGTAAATCACTTCCAATTATACAGCTGGGACAACACTGCTCACGGGACACGGGGGTCGACAGAGGGAGCTCAGAAGCCTAAAGCATCTCCCGGTGCCGGCACGCACCGGCAGCACAGCCCTCGCTGTGCCCGCATCCCCTGCGGGACGCTCGGAGCGGGGAACCCGGGCTGGGCAAAGCCGAGCGGGCCGGAGCCGTGTCCGTGCCCCGGGCCGGCAGCGGCGGTGCCGTGTGTGCCTCACCACAGCCGGGTCGGGCTGGCTCTCGCAAGGGCCAGGGACAGCCGGGCTCCAAAATCTGCGGCAGAATCTCGACAGGGAGCTAAAGCACGAGCGCGGGTTCTCCTCACTGCACAGCACTCCGCGAGCCAGAGAACAGCACTGAACCTCCAACGACCATGGGAAAAATCCAACTGAAAGCTAAAGTTACTCAAAATGGGGTAAGTAGTACCTGCTAAGCAATTCAGATGCCCCAACTCCCACCCCCGGCCGGATCAGACAGACTGAGAAAAGATTTTGCTAAGAAGAGAACTAAGTTCCTGGGCTCCTGATGGTGGACAGAAATGTCTATGATTGTAGCTCTTCCCTTGAGGAATTCCTCTACCAAATTAGTGTCTAAGCTCCTGAAGTTCACTCATTACACCACAAGCTTCCCCAGGAGAAAGGAAAACACACCCGGCTTCCCTGGTGACAAACAAGGGAGCCCTGGGTGCTGGAGATCTGCTGACAAACCTCATGGTACAGTGGGAGAAAGTCAGGCAGAGTGAAATGGCAGTGCAATCCCTGAGGAAGCAGCTGTGGCACCTTAAATCAGGATGGTCTTTTGAAATACCAAACACAGTACATGACATACAGACCTGAATGCTCTTTTTTTTAATATTTTTTTATTGTTTTTTATTTAAGTGGCATTTTTAAGTTTAAACACTTCCCCCTTTGTCTAATTAAGTTCTTAAACCTTTTGCTGTGGACTTAAAATAGTTGAAACAGCCGCTAGCCAAGCACCTGTTAAGCTGTTGACCAAAAAACTAGAGCAGCTTTGATGTTCCTCGGGCGGGCGGTCTTCTTGCCTTGGGCGACACAGAATAGCTAAAGCCAGTCCACAGGCGAGGACTGCTCAGGAAGGCAAGCCAAAAGAACTAGCAAAAGAAAGAAAAACAGACAATCAAAGGCTTGATGTCATATGGCTGTAATGTAGAAATACTGTAAACTGCAATTTAGTGTTAATACTGTAAGCTACCCTAATAAATATCTCAACCAAAAATTAAAAGAAAGGAAAAAAAAAAAAAGAAAAAAAAAGATTGGATGGCCTAAATCCCAGGGCTTTGAGAGCCCCAAATTCTTTAGTTTTGTTGGTTTTGTTTTTAATTCCTTCTCAATTTGGGGATTTGCAGCTGTGCCCTGGCAGGCAGAGCGCTGCAGAGAGAGGCCCCGCGGCGTGGTGCGGGCACACGGCACCCGGGCTGCGGAAACAAACGCTCGAAGCCTTACTGGAACCACAGAACTCCCTTTTTTTTTTTTTTCAAATGTTTTTGCGTTGCTTTCCTTAAAAATGAGGGCCATTCCATCCACGCAAATTCGTCTTAAAACCCTTTTTTTTTTTATTTCTAGCAATAAAGTTAAATTAAAGACAGCTCCACTTGTATTAATAATCTACAGAACAGTCCATATGCCAGTGAGGCTGCTATTCCATACCAGCACAGCCAGCCTGACTTCCACTAGTGGTGTTTTGGCAAAAATGTCAACGAGGCAATCAAAGACAGGTTGTGGGGGGCCTCCCTGGGAAGGTGTCCCCTCCCTTTCCCTCCCCCACCCCGGACCCCCCCCCACTCGTGGGAAAAAAATAAAGACTGCAGTAGTTAGCATCAGCGTGCGGCTGCCAGTCCATCGGGGGGGTCTAGTTGTTGCCTTCTCCGCCGTCGTCGTCTTGCTGATCGCTCGTCCAGAGCGTTAGGTTGTCGCGGAGGAGCTGCATGATGAGCGTTGAGTCCTTGTAGGAGTCCTCGTTGAGGGTGTCCAGCTCGGCGATGGCGTCGTCGAAGGCTGTCTTGGCCAGGTGGCAGGCCTGCTCCGGCGCGTTCTGGATCTCGTAGTAGAAAACCGAGTAGTTAAGCGCCAGCCCGAGCCGGATGGGGTGGGTGGGCTGCATGTGCTCCTTGCTGATCTCATGGGCTTCGCTATAGGCCTTCTCCGAAGACTCCACCACGGTCGCCCTCTTCTCCCCGGTGGCCACCTCGGCCAGGTAGCGGTAATAGTCCCCTTTCATCTTCAGGTAGAAGACTTTGCTCTCGTACTGCGTCTCGCTGCAGTTCTTGATCAGGTAGTTGTCCAGCAGGCTCAGCACATCCTGGCACACCGCTTCCAGCTCCTTCTCGATCTTCTCGCGGTAGGCACGGACCATCTCGATCTTCTTCTCGTTGCCATCCGCAGAGGTCTTCTGCTCGATGCTGCTGATGACTCGCCAGGACGAGCGCCGAGCCCCCACCACGTTCTTGTAGGCGACGGACAACAGGTTCCTCTCTTCATTGGACAGGGGCTCGTTCAGCTCCGTCACCTGTGCCGAGAGAGGGGGAGAGAAGAGAGACATTTGGGTTAAGCCCCAGCCTTGTGACGCTCCCATCACACCTCTGGGTGTGCCTGTGCCTCTCTAGAGAGAGGCAGGAGGAGGCAGGCAGCTCGCAAAGTCCCGCTCTGTCATCCAGCTCTGCCGCTGCTCCCATCCCAGCAGGAGCCAGCTGGGAAACCATGCTGTGGTTCAGACCCACAACAAAAGGAGCAGGCGTTGGGCTTTGTTTGAGAGATCAGCATCTTCCAGAGCGAGAAAAGTCTTCTAGGAAAGAGATGCCTTTCACCTGTAGGATGAGAGTTGGGCGTGGTGATGCAGGTGAGAGGGACAGTGAAAGCAAGAGGGAGGAGATGGTGCAGGGTCATGAGCTCCCTGCACGGATTAACACCAGCAGAGCTACAGGGTGTTCATCTCTTCCACTTCCCACAAGCATGGGGCACGCTTCCCAGACACCCAAAGAATCTCTGAGATGGCACAAATACAACTGCCTCAGGCTCCTGCACAGATGAGGACTTAAAAGCTCACATGGTGAAGGGGAAATCCCCCACTCTGAGTTTTCCTCACTGAGGTTAACAGTGTTACCTGCCTCATACACCACAAAAATCACAAAGGGATTACAGAGATGACGAGCACAGAGCTCCCTCAGTAACTGGGGAAGCAGCACCTGGTATCACAATAATCCCATTCCAGCTCCCACAAGCCCATCACTGGCTGGAGCCACCCGAGCAGCACCTCTGGCCAAGGCTGCAGCAGCTTCCCAGCCCCAGGAGCAGGAGGAGCCCTTGCAGCAGGCAGGACACCACACAGCAGCTGCACAGGGCCGCTCCCCTGAGCTGCTTACAGCTGCCAAGTGCCACTTTGAGCCTGGGCATGGCCACTGTCCCCTTTCCCCCAGAACACGCCCCCACCCCACATCCACACCCTGGGCACAGCCACCTGGGAATCAGGCCACCAGAGCAGGGACCCGTGAGCCACCTCACGGCAGTAAAGGATTAGGTAATGCTTTGGATGTGAAAGGCTTCTGCAAACACTGAGTCACTTTCACAAGGATCTGTAAGGACAAGGTTTGCTCTGGGCCCAGATAACCACATTTATGGTGGGGATCAGGAGGCCAAAGGCCCAGCCCAGGACCTCATTTGAATGGCCTTGAATGACTCACAGTTGCTCACACCATATTGACCTGCACATTCCAGAACATCCACTCCTCCTGCAGCTCTTCAGCCATGCTCTGCCTAATGCCTCCTCCCAAAACCAGCCACAGCCAAGCCTGTTTCCCCCACAGCAAGCAGAGTCTCTGATCAGACCCCCTCAAGGCAGAGGCACAAGCAGACCCTCCACTGCCATCCCCACTGCTGTGTGGATCTGTGCTGCTCCACAGGATGCTCTAGAGCCTGGCACAGGAACAGCAGACGCTCCTTTTCCATATGGAAGAGGGTCTTGCTGTGCAAACCAGCAGAACTGCTTCTGCTGCAGGGTAAGGACAGCGGGGAGCAGGGAAATGGGTGTCACTTTATGAGGGCAGGATCTGGGACTATCAGCAGCTGCCAGCAGCACAGGGCAAAGAGCACAGAGCAGGATGCCAGGGCAGCTGCCAGCGCTCCCGCCCAAGGTAAGCAGGGCAGCGATGCCCGGGCCATCCCTAGCTCCCAGTGCCAACCCTCACACCCCATCCTAGCCAGTGACTGTTTAACCACAGGGCCCTGGGATCCCTGTGATATCCTGCTTCCTGCAGCAGGGCCAACCACAATGTGCCCAAATCCCCGTGGTGAGGCACTCACACGCTGCCTGCTGTGCTGAGGTCTCACTATGCAGTTTTACAGAATGTCCCCCTTCGTTCTTCCCTCTCAGTGACACCTCCACAAACACACAGTAATGATTGTGTGGGTTAAAGACCTCTTTGGGAGCACAACCAAGGTGTCCCCCTGACCCAGAGCTTATGGGTTGTCTGTCCTCAGAGATACCAAAGACTCCATCAGGTTACCTGAAGGCTTATCCCACCCAAGCTGCCCTGTTTTGAGTGAGGGATTTGGAAATAGAAACATCCAGAAATCCCAACCTGAGTTATTCTCTTCCATCTCTAAATGGAGTGTCCAACACCAACAACCATACAAGAGACTCACTGATTCCAAGGGTTTTCTGTCCTGACAGGGGTTGTGGAGATTGATCACCAGAGGAAATTTTGCTTTTAGCAAGGTGCTCCCTGAGAAGAGACACCAGTTTTGAAGTGAAGAACAAGCAGGTGCCCCACAGCCACGTCTGCAGATAGTTATCACTGCAGGAAGAAGTAGATTTACCTCCTCTCACCAGAAGAGTCTTGCTGGAGGACAGATTTATTAAAACTACAGGGAGTTTCGTGGGATTAGCTTTGCCATAAACATTTTAAATTCGAAGCTATTAAGGATTACGGAGGAAAGTTGCCTGTCAAAATCCTTTCAACAAACTGGCTGACAGATGGAAGGTACACCTGTGGAGACAGCAGATTCCCCTAGGGAGCTCACAGGGAACTTGTAAAAGCAGGAAGGGAGCCTTGTTAACCATGTCACTGCTTTCCAGCAGCACCCAGACTCCCAGGAAGGAGCACTGCAGAGACATGGCCAAGATGTGCCATGGGTGGGGACAAGGACCACGGCCCTCAGCACCAGGAGAGGGAAGAGGCTGTAGTCCCACACATTTAACTTCACAGTTGGGCTGAGGGAGGAAAAACAGAAAACCATCTGGCTCTTGCATTCCCAGCAGGAAGAAAATGCAAGATGCCCAGGACACAAGGTATCAGACAGTAGGGTACATGGAGCTGCCTAACCAGAGTCAGAAAAAGGCAGAAAAGATGTATCCAGGGTCAGCTGTCTTTGAGGACATCTCTGCCCTCAGTCTGCCCAGAGCTGCCTGGTGCTCGCCTGCCTGTGCTGGCATTTCCTGCCACAGCCCCCTCCCTGTCACTCTGCCCTTCCACAGCACTGCACCAGTGCCCATCTCCAGCAGAAACCACTCCAACACCTCAGCACCAGCCTGTCACATGCACGCGGGGCTGTGCCTTCTCTGCAGCCTGTGCTGGCCAAACAAATGGTGGGGTTTTTTTCTTACACTGCAGGATACCAAAACGAAGTGAGTTCAGCCAAGCCACTGGCTAAACAGCAGGTTCTGATACACTGAGTCTGTAGCACTGCACTGAATGCCTCTGCTATAGCATCAAATAAGGCAATATCCTGCATCAGGCCTGGATCACACTGCAGCAGTCACATTATGGAAGGGCAGAACCATCCCCCTTCTTAATTCAGACCCTGAAGGGGTTTCACCTCCCCAAAGAAGGGCAGTACCCAGATCAGGTCCCCTGATGCCATTTCCAGCACTGTTACATGGAGTCAGAGACTTCAAATAGCCAAAGGAAAATCTTAGTTTGGCATTAGGAGGGCTTGGCAGGAGCACAAAGCCAGCAGCCCCTGGCTGCAGTCTACCTGCTCTTTGGGAAGCTCAGGCAGTTTAGTTTTACTTCCCTGGCTGCCAGCAGAGAACAGCAGAATTTTTTGCTCTGCAAATCTCAGATACTGTCCAGCCTCATCTCACTCCTGTGCTCGTGGAGACCAGGGAGAGGGGCAGGAGGTGCATGAGCCACTGTCAAGTCCTGGATGTGGCATAAACAGCCAAGGACAAGGAGCTCATCCACAGGGTGGAAACTTGATAAAGGAAAGTCTTCTAGCTATCCTGGAAAAAAAAAAAAAAAAGAAAAAAGGAGAAGACAGCTGCCAGGAGCAGACTGCACAAGGACAGCCAGGCAGGGAGTGCAGGGAGCCTGGCATGGAGCAGTCCATGCTGCCAGGCTCTGCCTGGGAGGCACGTCCATCACCAAGCTGCAGGACACTGCCAGTTCCAGTCTCACCAGTTCTCTGATGGCACAGTGTCTGATGGCACTGAGACTCAAGGGCCCTTAAGCCACAGGGAAACTCCGTGAGTTCCCGTTGGATAAAAATTACTGGAAGTTTAGGGTTTATACTGCTTGGGAGACCAGAGGCTTGTACAAATTCAAGCCCTCTGATCTGCAACAAAGCACTGCAGAGGCGGCACCATCTCTGAGAAGGTTTTCCTGATTTCCCCACTACAGCTGGAGCTCTGACTCAGCACTCTGCCCAAAACCTGGCATGCAATGCCCGAGGATCACATTGCAGCCAGGCAAGCTTCAGCCTCTTGATGAGAAGCCAGGGAACAAGCAAAAATTACCTGTCCCTAATGTCAAGGTATGTAAACTCCAAAAGCCCAAGGGCTGGTTCTACAGCACCTGCTTTCTGGAAGTATCCTGACTAACAGGCTTTGGTGAGACCCACGGGGAAGGTTTGCTCCCAGAGAACAGCAAGTCAGGTTGGTTAGGGGCTTATTCCAGAACTCCCATCCTCCACTTCTCACCCTGCATGAGTAGGTCTGAGTACACATCAGGAAATGACTGGTTTTGAGGTCCCTTCAGTGACTGCAGTGAGGATCCATCACAGGACTTAGCTCTACCTGTTTATTCTTGCACAGTTTTCACTTAGTTTGATAATTAAGTGCCCACCCATTTACAGCTCCTGCCTGGCTTTGATGTCTTATCTTAAAGCAGACAGCACTGGCAAGCTGACAGGACCCAGAGATCCTTCCCTGGGGAATACCATCACCATCTGACAGTTTAACCCATGTTATAAACCTCAACACTTGCTCTTCTTATTGCCTAAAGAGAATCTGAGTCCTTCAGGACATCAGACAGCTACAACAGACTGAAGCTTTCCTGGAGAGACAGAGACAGCCATGAGAACTTCAAACTGTTCACTGAGAAAAGCTTTTAAAGATCATCAGAGCTCCTCTCCCACCAGGATACACAACATCCATCTCCCCTTCAGCACTCATGCTTCCTGTTCTATCTACAGCTCCTGCACCATGTAATTAAATTTGTTATCTCTCCACACAAACCCTAGCAAGTGCCTTGTTTTCCTTTACATGCAGCGCGTTAGTCTGAGCTCTGGCCT